TATACAGACACATGTTCTTTTCAAATTATCTAGTCAAAATTGGATTAGTAATTCACCTAAACTCCATAAAGCTGTTTAGAAGAGTCCCATGATTTAGAGGGTTTTAAAAATTGCAGAGGGGTTAAAACTCAGCCAACAGACCATTCCCCAGAGAATCACACTCTGTCACTTAAATCTAGATTGACTTAATAAGACGTAGTTGACTGGGTTTTCACACAACAAATTAAATTATTTATTAGCAGATTACAAAGCACCTTAGCAAAGTTCACGCAACACACTGAGGCAAAAACAAAGAAATCACATTATGTGCTATCACAACTTTAGCATCTGCTATGAACCAAAGAGACACAGCAAGTTAAAATGTAGTCTGAAACCAAGGAATTAAAAATCAGAACAGTCACATTCATCCAGAAATTCTAGAGCTATGCCATTTACCTGTTAATTACGTAGCCAGCTTATATGAAAACAGATACACATGGATCTGTAATTATTCAGGAGCACAGGGTCAAAAGATAACTTCTATCAAGTGGCATAGCTTAAACTAGATGTCAGTTTTGCTAAGTTGGCTGCAAATAACAAAAAACTGTAATTGTGCGATTCTCCAGAATGTGGATCTACAGATTAAATAACGAATTCATTGCAACAGATTCAGTCCAACAAAGAAAAGATAGTCTCTTCACAGAAACATGCTCTTATCTCAAGGGTGCTTTTTCAAAAGGCAACTGAGGACCCAGTTTGTGGGGGCAATAAGCTGACTTTGTATAAATATACAAAAGTATGAAGGCTATTGCTTAACGCATTGTAAGCCGCCCTGAGTCTCCGGAGAAGGGCGGCATATAAATCAAATTTTTTTAAAAAAACAAAAAACTGGACTTTGTTTTAAAATAAAAATGAAAAACAATAACAAAGTTCACTTGCCTTATGAAAAAGCACCTTTGGGACAACTATGACTTGGATGACTGAGAATCTCCATAGATGTGAAACATGTTCTTAGATATTCAGGTCCCCATTGATGTATGAATCAATAGCATTTTTATCACCCTATCTTTCACTTGAAAAAAGACCTTTAGAGTGGCCTATTAAAGATCAGATGTTAGGCTTACCAGCTAAAGGACATGTCACAGACGAGAAAATATTAAAGGGTGGATAAAGAAAATCTGAGTATTAAATCTCAGTCACAGAGGACAGAAACTTCAGGCCTTCTAAAGATTTCATTCTTATCTTCCCTGAGGTAACTATATAGTAATGCAGTTTGAAGCCTTGTTCAGATTTTTATATTTTTTTTTATCCTTCCTGCTGTAGCACAAAACAGAAAGGCAGAGGGGGGAAAAGAGAAGGCATCAGATGCCTGAAATATAATTCAGGTCTGTATATTTTTGGCAGATGCTGCTTCTACTTAATTTGCCTGAGGATTTGGCTAATTCTGTTGAAGTCCAAACATTCTTATAGTTACTAGGGTTGAAAAACACTAAGCTACACAAATGGTGGTTTCTCAATCTTTGGTTGTTTTAGTTAAATTTTAGGAACCTTTAGAGCAGGGGTCTCCAACCTTGGCAACTTTAAGCCTAGCGGACTTCAACTCCCAGAATTCCCCAGCCAGCAAATCTTCAAAACTTCAATTCTGGGAGTTGAAGTCCACCAGGCTTGAAGTTGCCAAGGTTGGAGACCCCTGCTTTAGAGTGGCAGCTATCTCTAAAGTACTGTTTAATTGATTATCACTGGTGACCCCAAGGGAACAAGCGGAATCAGATCAATGAAAGCAGTGTTGTGTCACTGTGATGCAAAATTTTGTCCCTTTTATATGTGCATTGTGATGTCACACACAGAGATGCCACAAAGAGGTGGAGGTTCTGTTATCATGCCACTATGCTGCTGTTGTCATTGTTGTGGTTTTCCAGCTTGTTGCAGAGTCTTGGTCTCCATGATCTGGAGGGTCCTTTTCAGTGGTGGGATTCAGCCAGTTCTCACCACTTCAGGAGAACGGGTTGTTAACTTTCAGAGCAGTTTGGCAAACTGGTTGTTGGAAGAAATAATTAGGGCAGAGAATCGGTTGTTAAATTACTTGAATCCCACCACTGGTCCTTTTCCAATTCTATAATTTTGTTATTCTATAAAATAGTTACAACTATTGTTGTAGCATCCAATCTGGGTTGGTCACCGGGACCAGAGGTTTATTCTTCTGAGCTTTCACACATGTGCTGGAGTCCAACTTGCAGAAAGCCTAGCATTATTATGTTCTTTAAACATGGCAATCATCAATACACCATTGCAAGAAATGCATGAAAGTAAAATGCAAAATGTACATACAGTTAGTCTTTGACTTATGACCACAATTGGGACAAGAATGCTAAGCAAGGTGATTGTTAAATGAGGCACACCAGGGGTGGGTTCTACATAACTTTACTACCGGTTCACAACGGGATCGTGCGTGCTCGCTTGCTGCGCATGCACAGATCGCTTCTCATGATGTCAGGATCAGTGGGCGGAGAGCTGGTTTTACTACCGTTCTATAGAACCGGTCCAAACCGGGGGCAACCCAATTTTAGACTTTTTCGCCATGCTTAAGCAAATCGCTAAAGTCTGTAAGTGTAAATTATTATTTTATTTTTCACCAAGCATGTATTTTATGACAGATACAAGTGTAAACATAATTATAGATACATGAAAAGGATACGAATAAAAGAAAACATTAGGACAGGGATGATAGGCACGCTGGTGCGCTTATGCACGCCCCTTAATTATGCAGTTGTTAAATAAATCTGGCTTCCCTTATTGACTTTGTTTGTAAGAAGCCAGCTGGGAAGGTCACAAACGACTATCAAGTGACCCTGGGACACTGCCATTATAATAAATACATGCTTGTTGCCAAGCACCTGAATGTTGATCATGTAATCGTGGGGATGCCGCGACAGTCATTAATGTGAGGCCCAGTCGTAAATCACATTTTTTAGTGCCATTATAAGTTCCAACAACAGTAAACATTGATTAAGTTATTAAGTCAAGGACTACCAGTACCTTAAAAGATGTGCCTATATACAGTACGTACACATCGAACGATTCCAAAATCGCTCCCTTTTTCAAAACTATTAAAATATGCATACAGTCCATTCCCTTGCAATTGGCAAGGTGGGGGATGTTTCTTCTCCTATTGCAATTCTCTGAAAGGGAAGAAAAACCTGAGGCCAAGCCACACACTTTCCTTAAACCAGGACAGGTTTGTGCCGCTGGCTTGAGGCCGACTCATCTGCCATCGCTCAAGTCTTTCTCAGTGGCCAGCAGGAGAGGGAAAGGCAGGTAAGGGCCCCGCAGGACAAAAGTCGACATTATTTGCAAAGGAGAGTCCGCCCACATGAGGGATGAATAGAGCATTCAAACACACACACACCAATGAGGTAGATTGTTTTTCGTTCTCAGATGCCATTTGTCTGCCAGCGTGCAGAATTCAAGAATGGAGAAAGTGTGTGTGAGAGAGAATGTGTAGGTGGGGAGTGGGAGGAGGGACATTTCTTACTTTCACATTATCTCAAATCGTCCCTGTGAGGCTGGATTAATGGAGGTTAAGAGAGTTAAGAGGAGGTGGGCAGCTTTAGGATTAGAGCAGTGTTTCCCAACCGTAGCCATTTAAAGATGTATGGGTTTCAACTCCAGAATTCCTCACCCAGCATGGGATTCTGGGAGCTGAACTTCATGCATCTTAAAAGTAGCCAAGATGGAGAAACACTGGGTGAGAGCAACCTTCCCAGGAAAAATCTGTAGAGATTCATAGTCATCCAGGTCATGGTTGTCCCAAAGATGCTTTTTCAGGAGGCAACTGGACTTTCTTGTTTTTTTTCCTTTGAAGATGTTTCGCTTCTCATCCAAGAAGGTTCCTCAGCTCTGACAGGATAGTGGGGAATAGCAGGATTTATATTCCTTGCAGGCAGCTGGTCATTTGTATTCTTTTAGAGCAGAGGTGTCAAACTCGTCACGACGGTGTCACGTGACATATTGGGACTTTTTTCCCCTTTGCTAAACTGGGCGTTGGCATGGGCAACATGTGACGCATCCGGCCTGCAGGCCAGGGGTTTGACAGTCCTGTTTTAGAGGGTCATTGAAGCACTTGGAGGTTTATCCTTTAATGAGGAGCACTACTCAGGTGATCCTGAGGACACAGATAAACCTGCAATGCTTCAAAGACCCTCTAAAAAGATACCAATTACCAGCTGTGTGCAAGGAATATAAATCCTGCCATTCCCCACTATCCTGTCAGACAGTGGTGAAATTCAATTTTTTTTACTACTGATTCTGTGGGCATGGCTTGTGGGCATGGCAGGGGAAGGACATTGCAAAATCTCCATTTCCACCCCACTTCAGGAGAGGGATACCGCAAAATCCCCATTCCCTCCCCTCTCCTGGGGGAAGGACATTGCAAAATCTCCATTCCCACCCCACTCTGGGACCAGCCAGAGATGGTATTTGCCGCTTTTCCAAACTACTCAAAATTTCCGCTACCGGTTCTCCGAACTACTAAAAATTTCCACTACCGGTTCTCCAGATCCTGCTGGATTTCACCCCTGCTGTCATAGCTGAAGAAGCTTCTTGGATGAGAAATGGAATGTCTTCAAAGAAAAAACAAGAAAGTCCAGTTGCTTCCTGAAAAAGCATCTTTGGGACAACCTTCCCAGCAGTTTTTTTCATGATCCCAGAGATTGCTCCATAACTTTTTTGAACTGGAATTGCAGAGACAAGTTATTTTTATTGAGTAAAATTGGGGCATTAAGTCCCATCGCCCAGTAATGTCACACCACATCACCGCGATTCTCAGAAACTGACAAAAGACCAGGAGATGGGGCGGGGGAGGTGGGAATTCCAGGTTGGGGAAGGCTGGGTATAAAGAAATTAATCTGGGCTAATTTGCATTAAAATACAACCTTCATACATTTCTCTACCATGCCAAGTTTCATGTCTTTTACATGATGAGAGAAAGGTGCCCCGGCACTGTTTTTCCCTCTTCCTGGTGTGGCTTGGCAGACGTCCCTTGGGAGAACATCAAAAATCTTCCACTTAATCCTGCAAGAAGCAGAAATGAACTTTGGACCTTGGCCAGGTTACAGGAAGAAAGATCAAAAGCCAGGACTCTGGGTACCACCTGCCTTACTGACCCTGCCAACACTGGCTCCATTCTTCTTCCTTTTACTAACAGGTGAGTAATCCCCTCCTTGTCCTCCTCTGCTGCTTCTTATTATGCCATCCATAGTTATGAAATTAGATAGCATGCAAATGATGATAAATGGACAAATGCAAGTAGTCCTTGATTTATTACCATGATTGGGACCAGAATTTCCAGAACATTGCACCCATTTTTTGGTCGCCACTATATAAAAACGATGTTGAGACTCTAGAAAGAATATAGAGAAGAGCAACAAAGATGATTAGGGGACTGGAGGCTAAAACATAGAAAGAATGGTTGCAGGAATTGGGTATGTCTAGTCTGATGAGAAGGAGGACTAGAGGTGACATGATAGCAGTGTTCCAATATCTCAAGATTGCCACAGAGAGGAGTGAGGTCAATCTATTCTCCAAACCACCTGAGGGCAGATCAAGAAGCAATGGATGGAAACTAATCAAGGAGAGAAGCAACCTAGAACTAAGGAGAAATTTCCTGACAGTGAGAAAAATTTATCAGTGAAACACTTGCCTACAAAAGTTGTGGATACTCCAACACTGGAGGTTTTTAAGAAGAAATTGGGCAACCATTTGCCTGAAATGGTAATCGGGTTTCCTGCCTAAGCAGGGGGTTGGACTAGAAGACCTCCAAGGTCCCTTCCAACTTTGTTGTTCTGTTCTGTTCATTGCTAAGCAAGGTGGTCGTTAAATGAATTGTGCCTGATTTTTGTCATGGTAAGCAAATCAGTCCAGTTAAGTGAACACTCCAAGTAGTGGAGATGCAAAAGTCCTTCCCTGCCTCCATATCCTTTCATCCATATCCTTTTTTCTCCTCTGTCCCATGTGATAATAATCTTTTTTTTTTTAAATTTGATTTATATGCCGCCCTTCTCCGGAGACTCAGGGCGGCTTACAATGTGTTAAGCAATAGCCTTCATACTTTTGTATTTCTATACAAAGTCAGCTTATTGCCCTCACAAACTGGGTCCTCAATTTACCTACCTTAGAAAGGATGGAAGGCTGAGTCAACCTTGAGCCTGGGGAGATTCGAACTAGCAGTAATTGCAGGCAGCTGAATGATAATAACAGGCTATTAGTCTGCTGTGCCACCAGGCTCTGCTCTTTTTGAAGCAAATGTCTATGGAGATTCTCAGTCATCCAGGTCATGGTTATCCCAAAAGAGCTTTTTTCAAGAGGCAACTGGAGTTTCTTGTAACCTTCATTGTACATAAAATAGGTAGTGGTCAGGCTGGAATGACACTGTTCGCCTCCTACCCTTGGCCTTGCCTGCTTCTCCGCCAGGCTTCCACCTCGGGGGAATTCTCTAGCTTTTCTCCTTGGCTGACACGCCCCTGTCCATTCGCCAAGGCCAGTCGGCCACGGCCCCTCTGTCTCACACGCTTCAGCACCACCCATTCAACGCCACACTGTTCGTCCTGGGCTTTTAGCTTCCTGGGGTTGTTAGTCACCAGCCAATCAGCTAGTTGCCAATGCTGGCGGCCAGAAGCCCAGGGGGAGGGGTGGAAGAGAAGAGCGGGGCTGGGGGTGTCCCCACCCCACACCTTTTCAGATGAAGAAAATAATCAAATAAACTGCTATTCTGCTCTCTCTCCCCACACCACACCTGATCCTGCAGTTGGGCTGCTGTTCCCCCCCCCCCCCACTATCTTAGGTACAGACATATGACATCGGTGACGACTGGCCATGACAGTAGTAAGTCAAGGATTGCCGTCAAATTGGAAAACAGTACAGGTAATCCTCAATTTATGACCGTATCGTCTAGTGACCATTCAAAGTTGCAGTGCCACTGTTGTCCATTTTTCACACTCAAGCTAGAAGAGAATTCCCCCGAGGCGAAAGCCTGGCAGAGAAGCAGGTGTGGCCAAGGGTAGGAGGCGAAAAGTCCTAAACCCTGGTCAGGCAGCGGTCCAGCATGGCACATATGTTGTCTGGGCTGAGATTGGTCCTGTCACCTAAGGTGCTATCTTTTAGCAGTTGTTTCTTCACTACCATGACAGCTTCAGTTGTTGGAATGCATGTGAAGAGGGGAGTCACATTATAGGAAACCATGGTCTCATCTAGGTCCAGTTTTTCCAAACCTTGCTGATGAAAACCTGTGAATTGTTGATATGATGGGTGGTATTGCCAACTAGAGGAATCAATATGGTGGTTAGATATTTTGCAATGTTGTAGATGACCGAGTTGATGCTGCTGACAATTGGTCTGAGTCAGTGGTGGGTTTCAAAAAAATTTACTACTGGTTCTGTGGTTGTGCCTTGGTGGGCATGGGAAGGCATGGTGGGTGTGGCAGGGGAAGGATATTGTAAAATCTCCATTCCCACCCCACTCCGGGGGAAGGATAGTGCAGAATCCTCATTTCTTCCTGATCAGCTGGGACTTGGGAGACAGAGAATAGATGGGGAGCGGGGCCAGTCAGAATTTTTACTACCGGTTCTCTGAACTACTCAAAATTTCCGCTACCGGTTCTCCAGAACTGGTCAGAACCTGCTGAAACCCACCTCTAGTCTGAGTGGAAGTCCAAGGAAATCCAGTTGCCTCTTGAAAATAGCACCTTTGGGATGATCTTTTTGAAGCCTTAGATTGTCCTCCTTCATTTAAGCCCCTCTTCTATACAGTATTTGTAAATAACAGCAGTGCCTTTGTTCTGATCATCCAAAAGAAATCAAATTCAAATTGTTGGTCGCCCTCTCATCCCCTTGCTTTTCTTGTTGCGTTCAAGATTAGAAAACAGATTTCCATTTCCACTTTTGTATGAAATTCCCAAATGCAAAGTCTACATTTAGAACTGGGGCAAGTTAGCTACCGTGCAAATGTGTACGCAAATCTCAAGCATCTAATTTGTGTTTCATGATCTTGAATAGGCACAGAATCGTAAACCTAATTCTCCCCCCCAGAGAAGGTAGAATTCAAATGTTTGGGGCTTGTTGATGAAACTGGGCACTTGATGTACCTCTATGGCAGTTCATAAGGACTTAGAAAGAGGATGAATGTCAGATTTTTTTATTTTTATTTTTTTTAAAATTTGATTTATATGCCGCCCTTCTCCGGAGACTCAGGGTGGCTTACAGTGCGTTAAGCAATAGCCTTCATACTTTTGTATATTTATACAAAGTCAGCTTATTGCCCCCACAAACTGGGTCCTCATTTCACCTACCTTAGAAAGGATGGAAGGCTGAGTCAACCTTGAGCCTTGGAGAGATTCGAACCAGCAGTAAATTGCAGGCAGCTGTGTTAATAACAGGGTGCTTTAAACCACTGTAGTACCAAGGCTCTTTATGATGTGCAGGAGCCTTTTCCTCCTACTGCTCTGTAGCTGTGATAGACTTTGGTTCCCTAAATTCCAGTCAAAGGTGAATCAAATGCAATTGTACGCCAGTATCTGGTTCTTCTCGATGTAGATGTTATTGCTTCCCACCCACCAGTAGTGAAATCCGAACTGGTTTGCTACCAGTTTGCTGGCTGCGCATGCGCAGTGCGCACCAAATGCGTGCTGCATGTGCATGCACAGTACGTGCCAAAAGGAGGCTTGGGAAGGTAAGTAGAAGTGAGGGGGGTGGATCAGCTGTGGCGCGCAATTTAGCTTCGCTAGAAAGCAGGATTTCCTGCTTTCTAGCAAAGCTAAACCGTGCTGCACAGCTGATTCCCCCACCCCGCTGTTCTACTTACCTTCCCAAGCCTCCTTTTGATGCGTGCTGCGCGCATCAAAGCTTGGGAAGCTTGGGAAGGTAAGTAGAACAATGGGGAGGATTTCCTGCTTTCTAGCAAAGCTAAACCCCGCTGCACAGCTGATCATCAAAAATATTGGTTCAAACCGGTAGCTTTTTAAACTGCTTGTTCAACCGAACTGGTAGCTTTTTTTACTACCGGTTCGCCTGAACTGGTAGTTTTTATCACTACCGGTTCCCTTGAACCGGAGTGAACCGGTAGCATTTCACCTCTGCCACCCACCAAAAAGCTGTTTGGAAGACTGAGGGAGAGCGGTCTTTCCTGGTTAAAATAGAGGAGAAAATGCTGCTCTCCTCATCCTAATAGCAAGAAGTTTTAGAAACTGAGAAAGTAAGTGTGTATGTGACCTTGAATTAGACGGCATCTGCTGTTCTACAACCATATTCAACGGCATGCAGTTTTTCTTCAGCTTAGCACAACTGTGCGAAGACTGTGAGTTCTAGTCTTGCTTCACTCATGAAAGCTGATTGGGTGACTTTGGACCAGTGACTCTGTCTGAGTCCAACTCAGCTCACAGAAGTGTTGTTGTGGGCAAAAGAATATCATTGTGTTTGCTGCCTTGAGATACTTAAAAAAGCAATAAAGGTGGGATTAAAAAATTAATAAAATAAATGCACTGGAGGAAAATATGTCTTGGCATTAGGTCAGAGGTGGTCAATGTTTGCCAATTTTATGATGGTAACCACCATCCTGACTTTTCTAGGAATAACAGAATAACAGAGTTGGAGGGGACCTTGGATGTCTTCTAGCTCAACCCCATGCTCAGCAGGAAACCCTATACCATTTCAGATAAATGGTTGTCTAATCTCTTCTTAAAAACTTCCATTGCTGGAGTATTCACAACTTCTGAAGGCAAGCTGTTCCAATGATTAATTGTTCTAACTTCCAGGAAATTTCTCCTTCGTTCTAGGTTGCTTCTCTCCTTGATTAGTTTCCACCCATTGCTTCTTGTCCTACCTTCAGGTGCTTTGGAGAATAGGTTGACCCAAGGGTGAAATCTAAAATTTGTTACTACCGGTTCTGTGGGTGTGGCTTGGGGGGGTAATGTGACTGAGTGGGCGTGGCCAATTTTTTTTTCCTTTTAAAACCAATTTTTTACATGTAGAACCATGTAAAAAATGCTTTCAAAAGGCTCTGACGATCCCAGCTGAGTTGCCTGATCGGCAGGCAACTCAGCTGGGATTGTCAGAGCTTGGATTGTCAGAGCCATTTAAAAGGAAAAAAAAAAGGCTCTGATGATTGCGCAGCTCAGCTGGGCATGGGGGGCGGGGCAGGGATTTTTGCTGCCGGTTCTCCGAACTGCCCGCTGCCATCGCTACCTACTTGCCCGAGCCGGTCCGAACCGGGAGCATTTCACCCCTGGGTTGATCCCCTCTTCTTTGTGGCAGCCCCTGAAATATTGGAACACTGCTATCATGTTGCCCCTCACCCTTCTTTTCACTAGACTAGACATACCCAATTCCTGCAACCGTTCTTCGTATTCCCTCGAATACGAAGAACGGTTCCCTCAAGATCATTTTTTCTCCTATATATACATACATACATACATACATACATAGATGTGTGGATTTCAGCACCCAAAAGTCCAACCCAATCCTGTTGCTTTCCCCTGTGTTGGGATTAACAGGTCCCTGAATTCCCTGTCATCCTACAGGATGGGGATTCTGGAATGAGTCATTAGAATCCTAGAGTTGGAAGGGAACTCTGAGCTTGTAAGACTGCTTGGTGGAGGATTTGCTGAAGAATTTTAGATAAATGGTTATACAGCCTGTTGCAAGTCTCAGCACACCTGAAAGTCAGCAGATAGAGAAGGATGTCCAGGTTCAATGCCCTGAAATTGGGAGATAATTGAATTTGCATGAACTTACATTATTATTATTTTTTATTGTTGCAGCTGGCAGCACTGGGGCCGCACCGATGACCATTCCAGGTGAGACTTTGTTATATGGAGATGCATATAGAATTTTAAGGCTCTTCCATATTAATTTAATTTAATTTAATTTAATTTAATTTAATTTAATTTAATTTTTTAATTAATTTAATTTAATTTAATTTATATACCACCCTTCTCCCGGAAGGACTCAGGGTGGTGTACAGCCAAAATAAAACACACAGATATAAAATTTAAAAACAATTTTAAAAATATTAAATAATTTGGCCCATATCTAATTAAAATAAAATTACCCGTTTTGGACATTTAAAAGTTAAAAGTTAATGATTAAAAATTAAAAAATTAGGCCAGCCTGGCTTGTTGGAATAAAAGCGTCTTGAGGGCCTGGCGGAAGGTGCGTAAATTGGGAATCCTCCGCATCTCGGGGGCAATTCTTTCCAGAGGGCAGGAGCCCCCACAGAGAAGGCTCTTCCCCTGGGGGTCGCCAGCCGACATTGTTTGGCCGACGGCACTCGGAGGAGCCCCTCTCTGTGGAAGCGAATTGGCCGGTGGGAGGCTATTGGTAGCAGAAGGCGGTCTTGTAAATACCCAGGTCCTAAGCCATGGAGTGCTCTGAAGGTGGTAACCAATATCTTGAATTGCACCCGGAGGACCAGCTGCGGGGACGGGTATTGATTTAGCATCAATACCCATCCCCTTCCAACTCTGTTTCCTACGTCATTCTTTCAACAGATAATTTTCTTCCTGCTTTTCTGAAGGGCAACTAAAACAGAAAACTTTCTGTTTTAATATTTGCAACCTGGGACTCCCCAGTTTTGCTGGGTGTGTGTTTGTGAATGTGCCCTTTGCGATTTGTTTTAAGGCTTCTTATTAGATTTCACAGGCAACTTGTATCAATGAATTCCATGTTAAGTCCTGCCAATCTACCAATGTAATAGCTAAAATTCAGCACAACTTGATGTTGCATAATCAATCAATTACATTTTGTCAATTTCTAACCTGGTGATTGTACTGTACGGGTTTCGTTGGACGCTCAGGATTTATTCATTGATTAAATGAATAAAAGCTAGTTTATCTACATTGATGCCAATTAGGAAATAGTTACAGTAATTCAAAGTGAAATATATTTCATCAAAGTAAATGCTTGACTTGTACGGTTAAAGCTCAGCCTGATAACCAGGTGTTAAAATAGCCGCCTTCTTCATCTTGAAACTGGCCTTAGAATAGAAAACTCTTCAAATGGAAAATAATCTGCTGTAACATTCAACTTGATTACCTTAGTGAGAATGGACCCTTAGCAAGAAAGTGATGGTTCACTGCATCTGTGAGCCCAATTAATTCATAATGGGCATAAGGTACACCTAAAGTTAGCAGGTGCCTCTAGGCATCTTAGCAGTGCCAGCAGTAACAGCTGTAACAGTTGTGGTGGCACAGTGTGGTTAGAATGCAGTATTCCTGGTTAACTCTGCCCACAACCAGGAGTTCAGTTCTGACCAGTTCAAGGTTGATTCAGCCTTCCATCCTTCCAAGGTCAATAAAATGAGGAGCCAGATTGTTGAGGGCAATGTGTCGACTCTGTAAACCACTTAGAAAGGGCTGTAAATCACTATGAAGCTGTATATAAGTCTAAGTGCTATTGCTAACAGCTGGACATAAAAACAGGAGCCAATGATGCTCAATTGCATATCCCAAAAGTTCCCTTTCAAGAATTTGTACTTTAAGCTTTGGTTGGGCACCAGAACATGCTGGGTATTTTCCTCCCAGTTGATGGTTGCCATACCTTGAGGTTGGGCAATTGTAGAGGCCCAGACCCAAGACCAGCTGAGAGGATGCTTCGAGAGACAAGTTGAATGTAGAAAACCATCTAGTTGTAACTAGACATTATATGTGAGACTAAGAAATCAGAGTTGCAAGATGAGAGCCAAAGAGCATGCCTGAGAATTATAACACAGCAGGTTATAATTGATAACAGATGTTGTGCAGTCTGGATGGTTAGAAAAAAGCCAGAGAAACCATCACTTATTGAAATACTCCATCTGTAGTCCCAAAGGTTCTTATTTTCAAAGGCAACTGAACTTTGTGTGTGTTTTTCCTTGAAGACGTTTTGCTTCTCATCCAAAAAGCTTTTTCAGTTCTGACTGAATGGTGGAGAATGGAATCCTTCCATTCAGCCAGAACTGAAGAAGCTTCTTAGACTGAGTAGCAAAACGTCTTTGAGAAAAAACATATACAAAAATCTGTTTGCCTTTTGAAAAGAGCACCTTTGGGACAACCATGACCTGGATGACTGAGAATCTCCACAGATGCCCTGCCTGTGGAAGTCTGATAGTTCACCTGAAGAAATAGTGATCCACAAAGTTTGGGGTTGATGGCTCTAAACCTAGCAGCCACCATACTTCTTTCCATTGGTGGGTTGAGTCCAAGAACTTTTAATGGACTGTAGCTATATTCCAGATAACTTTTCATTTTAGCAGATCTATTTTCTCTTAGCCCAATAATGCCTCAGGGTGCAATATAACCCTTAACATTCTTGAATGACCACCCTGAAAGATTTGAATGGATGCCTCAAAAATCACGAGCTGCTCCCGGTAGAACTATTAGTTGAATGGACTCCAAAGGGAGAGATCTTCAGCATGCAGAGAATAATTACATCAACTGCATTTCATAAACAGGGTATGCGGAATAGCCTGTCGCAGAATATTCCAACCCTGACATTTGTTTTGGTGTCCAGCTACTTTCAGAAGACTCAGAGTTACCCATTTTGAGATTGGGAAGTTCCATGGTAGAATTTTGTTCCTGTGCTTTAATTAGGATTATTGTTGTTTATTTAAATGAAATGCAATTTTTGTCGTGGCCCTGCTTAACTTCTTGATGCCAATCCAGTGCACCGTTTGGATTTTGAATTCCAATATGTAAAATTATCTCCGGATGATTTGCTTGACCCTACCTTAGTTGCTCACCAGCCATGATGCAGCTCTTCCTCCCCCACTGAAGTCCTTCTTCTTGAGTTGTTCAAGACAGTAGCTCTGCCCTCTTCCTTCCAGAGGTACGGCTGGTCAACGGACGCACCCGGTGCCAGGGACGGGTGGAGATCTTCTACAACAATACCTGGGGCACAGTGTGTGACGACGACTGGGACATTGTGGATGCCAACGTGGTGTGCCGCCAACTCGGTTGTAGCCATGCCATCGGCATGCCACCCACCCTTTCTTTTGGCAGAGGGCAAGGACCCATTTTTCTAGACAATGTGGACTGCAAAGGAAGAGAGGCAGCCCTCAGTGAGTGCAGCAGCCATGGATGGGGCATCCACAACTGCTACCACTATGAAGATGTGGCCGTCATGTGTAATGGTACAAAGGTTTGGGCCTGATGGGTTGCAGTGGTGGTGGGGAAGGGATTGGTGTCAAAGTCAAACCTCCAACCCAGTGGTGAAATCTAAAATTTGTTACTACCGGTTCTGTGGGCAGGGCTTGGTAGGGGGGGTAATGTGACTGGGTGGGCGTGGCCAATTATTTTTCCCTTTTAAAACCATTTTTTCTACAACCTCTTCGGCGAAGAGGTTGTTAAAAAATGCTTTCAAAAGGCTCTGACGATCCCAGCTGAGGTTGCCTGATCGGCAGAGGCTTTTTTAAAAAAAGCCTCTGCCGATCAGGCAACTCAGCTGGGATCATCAGAGGCATTTAAAAGAAAAGAAGGGTTTTTTTCTTTTAAAAGCCTTTGACAATCCCAGCTGAGCCGCGCAATCATCAGAGGCTGTTTTTTTTTACTTTTAAAAGCATTTTTTCAGCCGAAGAGGTTGTAGAAACAATGCTTTTAAAAGTAAAAAAAAAAAAAGCCTCTCCCCAGTTGACTGTAATCTAATAGAAATAGATCAATAATTAAAAAAATATATAAACCCAGAAATTAAAGATTATTCAAAGTCATGTTTGAAAGCGAGAACAGGTATAGGTTTTAATATATCCCTTGAAAGCAGGGGTGGGTTCTAAAATTTTTTACTACTGGTTCTCTGGGTGTGGCTTATTTTGTGGGCGTGGTTTGATGGTCATGTGACAATTCTTTAGGATTTAGCAGAGGTACTGGTCTACCAGGCTTCTAACTGCTTGCAGAGCTGTACCGTCTACCCATTTGTTTTGGAGGCACCTCTACTCATTTGTTTTTGAAGCACCGGTCTACCCATTTGTTTTTGGAGGCATCTACTCATTTGTTTTTGGAGGCACCGGTCTACCCATTTGTTTTTGAAGGCACCATTCTACCCATTTCTTTTGGAGGCACCGTTCTACCCATTTCTTTTTGAGGCACCGGTCTACCCATTTGTTTTTCGAGCCCACTGGTCTACCACCACTCTGTCTTTTAACACTGATCAGCTGTAGGGCGGCCCTTTGAAGCCCCGTGGCAAGAGTTTAAACAGTTTTTTTCCTTCTAGCTGATCAGTGGGACTCGGGAGGCAGCGAATAGGGTGCGGGGCCAAATAAAAGGTAAGAATAACGTGAGGGGAGGGCTGGAGGGCCCAGCTCCCAAACAAAGAGAACTGTTCGGTGACGTCATATCGTCACCACCTAACAGCTTGGCCGAACCGGGCCAAACCGGGAGGAACCCACCACTGCTTGAAAGGGATTACAGCTGATCCTTGACCTATGACATTGGAACCAGAATTTCTGTAGGTGAGCGAGGTGGTTATTAAGTGAATCACCCTGACTTTACAACCTTTGTTGCCATGGTGGTTAAGTGAATCACACAGTTAAGCATATCCAGCTTCCTCCATTGACTTTGCTTAGCGGAAGCAGGCTGGGAAGGTTGCAAAATGGCAATCACATGTCCCCAGGACACTGCAACCATTAGAAATACATGCCAATTGCCAAGCACCCAAATTTTGATCACGTGACTGGGAATGCTGCAACAGCTGTACGTTCAAGAACTGAATAGTGAGAAATTTCCTGACAGCGAGAGCAATCAACCAACAGAACAGAAGTTGCCTTCAGAAGTTCTGGGAGCTTCATCACTGAAGCTTTCAAGAAGAGACTGGACTGCTATCTGTCAGAAATGGTGTAGGGTCTCCTGCTTGGGCGGGGAGGGGGAGGGGTTGGACTAGACGACCTACAAGGTCCCTTCCAACTCTGTTAATCTATTTGTCATAAGTCACTTTTTTCAATGCCTCAGTTACCGTATTTTTCAGAGTATAAGACACTTTTTTCCCTCCTAAAAGAGGGTGAAAATTTGGGTGCGTCTTATACACTGAATGTAGCCCCGCCCACCCGCTGGCCCCCACCCTTTGGCCTCTGCCTCCCAGCAATTTACCTCCTTGCAGCAAACAGCCCGTTTCAGCTTCAGCACAGCCTGATTAGCACAAGCAGTTGATTGTTGGTTGGATCGGCCTCCCGACCGTCAGCTGTTTCAGGCTGTAGGGATTGCCATTGCCTATTGCCGTGCAGGCCTCCGCTGTTTGCTGCAACGAGGCAAATTGCTGGGAGGCAGATTTTTTTTTTCTTGTGCTAATCAGGCTGTGCTGAAAATGAAACTAAAGCTTGCTGTTTGCTGCAACGAGGCAAATTGCTGGGAGGCAGAGGCAGATTTTTTTTTTCTTGTTTTCCTCTCCAAAAAAGGTAGGTGTGTCTTATAGTCCGGAGCGTCTTATACTCCGAAAAATATGGTACTTCAAACAGTCGCTAAACAATGGTTGTAAGTTGAGGATAACTACCTGTACACCAGTCACCACCAGAAACATCATACATTGCACTATGCCATAATGTGGGTTTTATTTTGGCTTAGTGTATTATATGAATCTGGTCTGTCTCTTTAAATCAGATCTTCAACAGATAATCCTCTGTTCATTTCAAGGCTGGAAGTGGCAGAGAGAGTTCAGAGCATCTGCTATCAGCTTTGGGCTCTTTTGCCAGTGAAGCGTTTGGTGATTTCACCAATTTTGCAGTTTCAGTCAAGAAATGTTTGGCCCTCTACCAGTTCCAAATGCTGTATTTTCCTAAGCACCTCTTAAAAGAGAACGCTTGAACTACGACTTCCATTCTCATTAAGGAATCGGGAAGAGTTTGGTAGCATATTTTCCAAGTTATAAAACGTTATTCAAAGATATATGGTGCAGCTCAGGAAAGTTTATGCCTTTTAATAAAATGTGTTAGTCAGAGAACGATGCTATCCATCTCCTGTTTTTCCCCTCTTTTGCTACGATGTTCTCATTAAAGAAAGTGCAGCTGGTTCAGTCTGGGCTTTCATCAATTAATAGATAAAAAAGATGAAGCCTTCCTTAAAAAAGTAGCTGAGTAATAGTAGCTTTAGAAGCAAAGGAGGATTCTATGTTCAGAGCATTTTTAAACAGCTGCTTTGAGTTAGACCAGGAACAGTTGTAGTGCAAAAGGAGATCAGAACGAACTAATCTGATCAGGACAGCTGGCACAGTATGGGGCAGGCAGCGTTTGAGGGAACGGGGCACAATGTGTTGGGCTGATAGCATGTAGAGAGCAACACTGACGTTGTGAGTATAACTTTTATAAGAAAAATATTCTTGAGGCTGGTGCATGTGTGAAAGAAACATAACGATATGGTTGTTTTTGGCGCTAAGGGGAGCCAATTTGGTGTAGTGGTTGAAGGCATCAATCTAGAACAGGGATGTCAAACTCGATTTCATTGAGGGCCACATCGGGGTGGTGTTTGACCTAGGTGGCCAGGGTGTGTGTGGCCAGCTCGATGTCATTCGTGTTGGGGGCATCTGTGGTGGCCCAAGCGCTCTGTCAGCAAAAATGGTCTCCTGAGCTTTGTTTTTGGCTGTGCCGGCCTCCTACAACCCTCTGCTGGCGAAAAGGGAGCTTGGGAGGGCCCATTTTCCTGAGCTCCATTTTCGCTGGCAGAGCAGGGGCGGGTTCCAAATCCCATCGCTACCGGTTCGCTTGTGGGTGCACGCGTGCTCGTGGGCGGGTGGCACCTGCGCATGCACAGAAGCTTCTGCACATGCACAGAAGTGTCCGGCTGGGAGGGCGGAGTCTCCCGCTGTCACTACCAGTTCGCCCGATCCGGTGCAAACCGATAGCAACCCACCACTGTGGCAGGGGCACTGTGGGCCGATCCTTCGCTGTTTCCAGGGCAGCCCCCCACTCCACATCTAAGCACCCTACGGGGCTGAATCAGGCCCACGGGCCTTGAGTTTGACACTAGAAACAGGAGACTGAGAACCGTTCCTTTCTCCCAGCCTTGGGAAGGAGATGATGGCAAACCATTTCTGAAAAACCTTGCCAAGCAAAGTGCAGAGGCTCATCCCGTTTCCAGGAATCAAAAACTGACTTTAAGGCATATGTGTGCAAGCACACAGTTGGCGGTAAGGCAGCTTCAAATACAGTACTGCCTACAAGTTATGAGTCTATAATGTGCTCGCCTCCCTTTTATAAGCACAGCATCTGATCTGCACAGGTCAGAGAGAAAAGAGAAAGGGATGAATGAGGGGGATGAAGGAAGTGATGAAAATCTTAAGAGGAAGTGGGTTACAAAGTAAGTTTTTCAGACAAGGAAAGGAATTCAGAATGCAGAATCCTTTTTTATCTAGTGGTCACTATCTGTTTTGGAGAATTGACCACAGCAAGATAATTTTTTTCAGAGAGGGAGAGATAAGTGGAGAACCTGGAGGCACCTTGAGATGCAATATGTGATATGAGCATCACATTATCTACCCCTGAAATACCAGATACCCTATTTTTCGAAGTATAAGATGCACCGGAGTATAAGACGCACCTTAGTTTTTGGGGAGGAAAATAAGAAAAAAGCTGATTGGCGAGTGGATCGGCCTCCCAGAATACCCCCAATCAGCTGTTCCCAGAGGTGACTTTTAGCAACAGGTTGGTTGGTTATGAGCTCTGTGCCTTGCTTTTTTTTTCTGCTTCTGAAACTTCTGAAACTCTGTTTCAGAAAAAACTTTTTTTTCTGCCTCTGAAAGCCTCCGAAACAGAGCTTCAGAAAAAAAGCCTCTGAAGCTGTTTCTGAGGCTTTTTTTCTGAAGCTCTGTTTGGAGGCTTTTTTTCTGAAGCTTCATTTCTGATGCTTTTTTCAGCCTCTGAAACCTCCGTATGAGAAGCTGGGTGGGGCTACATTAGGAGTATAAGACGCACCCAGATTTTCACCCTCTTTTTTGAGGGAAAAAGGTGCGTCTTATACTCTGAAAAATACAGTATGTCAATTAAAAGCCTGGATGTCACCAAAGAAATAATAATAGTAACATTGCCTATGGATTGAATACTATTTCTAAAGGGAGCATAGAGCTGAGGTTCTTTTTTTTAGTTCTTTTTTTTTTTACATCAATCTTCTCCAATTGGTGTTTTTTAGATGTACTAAAACTTGAGGTTCTTGAAATATATTTGAAGGGCACAAGTTTGGGAAGGTTGAGTAAATCCATCAAATCAACCAACTATAATTTAAAATAGAAGTTGTAGGATCGTTATGGTGCTCTCTGAGTTTGGTGGTTTTCTTGCAGACATTTCATTACCAAGTCAGGTAACACCATCAGTGCTAGCAAATAGAATAGACATTATAGGGCTTTGCATGTACAGAAGAGATGGGGGCGTGGCACACGGCCATGATGTTGGTATAATTATTCTATAGTTTTCTTGATCTTCATGCATCCATTTTTTCTGTCTTTGTAGAATTGCTACCCACACAATCAGCAAAAGACCCTGCCAGCAAAACAACCACAGTTCCATTAAAAGATAAGAAAAGTAAGTGTTTTCTAGATTTACTTAAGAAATCATCTTTAGCTGGCTTGCTTATTTATTTTTGCAAGTGTATGTCTGGAAAAGGAAGGAAAGGATATTTGTCTCAGGGGCCTTATAATCTAACAAGCAGCATATGGTGGACAGCATCTGAAAGGGAGGAAAATACCGGTAGAAGCTAGGGAAAAGTACTCATTTATTTCAGATATATTTACTTAGACTTGGATAGAGTGTTATCTGGTAGCTATAATAACTTTTTACTACAGGCACTCAATAGCCATTGCAATTTTTTGCCTTGTTCATGGAATTATATAGCACCGGATGAGAGAGTTCAGATGATCAGTTCACTGCTATCGGCTTTTTTGGGGGGTGGGGGTGGGGGTGGTTTCTTTTTCTTATTAGAAAAAGTCAACCATGGCAGAGGACAAAATTGAAACATTGCATAATAGTGGCCCCTCAATAATAGTTTTTTCCCCCTCAGGTCTTGTTGTTGTTGTTGTTGTTGTTTTTAGTAGGCATCTCTGCCTCTTCCATAAAAAGAACTCATTCTTGCTCTCAAAAGTGATAAACGGAGCAAGGCAGATGGTTGGGTGATCCTCTGGTTTCTTTTACAGGTGATGGGAGAATTCGGCTGGTGAACGGGGCAAACGCCTGCCAAGGCCGAGTGGAGATATTCTACAAAGGAAACTGGGGCACTGTGTGTGATGATGAATGGGACCTACATGATGCCAATGTGGTGTGCAAGCAGATGGACTGTGGTCATGCGGTGGCCTACAGGACCAACGCCTACTTCGGTTACGGCACTGGGCGCATCCTCCTAGATAATGTGAATTGCGATGGAAATGAGCCACAACTTTCAGCCTGTTTCAGCCTCGGTTGGGGCATCCATAACTGTGGTCACCATGAAGATGCTGGGGTCATATGCTCTGGTGAGCAAGTTAGAAAAGACACCTCAACCACCTAGACAAGGCAGGCAGCTTCCAGAGGGATTTTGAACTCCCCGTGTTTCCCTGAAAATAAGTACCCCTGTCTTATATTTTTGGAAGCTCCGAAAGACGCATTAGGGCTTATTTTGGGGGGTGAGGGTGTTGTCCACTGACTCACCTCACTTATGCGTGTTGCCTCCTGGCCTCCTTTTTGCTGTCAGAGGCCTTCAGGAACTTCTTCTGCAGCCAGCAAGGCTTCCTGAAGGCCTCTGCAGTCAATAACTGTTCTGCCCCAGCTACGGACCCCAAAGAACGCAGCACACACGAAGTCCGTTCAAACCTTAGTTTACTAAATAAAACAGTCTTTTACAACAACGGCTGTTAATTAACTGCATTAACAGCCACCAAGAATTCAAAGAATAATACTGAAAGCTTACTGTGGTTGGCAGAATGCCCAGAAGCAATTTGCAGGAAGCTGATAAGATAAGCAAGACAAGACACGAAGGTATGTGAACGGAGTTGTTCCCTGCAAATTGCTTCAGTTACTGTTCCTCCTTAAATAGGCTAAGGGAGTGGCCAATTAGCCCCAAGCCTTACTCTCAAGGAGACCTCCTCCTGAGGAGCCACTCCTGCCTTTTGGCAGTTCTGTGCGCCTGTGCATTGAGAAGAGGTTCCTCCTCTTTGTCCTCTTCACTTAAGGGAGCTTCTGGAGTTCTGAAGGCCCTGGCTGAATCCCCGCCCCTGGCACCACATCCTCTCCAGCCTCCTCATTGTCTGACTCAAGTGCCAGCTGCACAGGCTGCTGGCGCAGCACCACACCAGCCTCCTCGCTGTCGGAATCAGCTACTAGCTGCACCGGCCGCTGACGGGTCACAACAATAACAGAGTTCCGGATCAATCCAGAGAATGAGTTGAAATAAGAAAATGTCTAAACAAAAACTAAGTTTGGCTTTGCCAGTTTGGGAATTCTGGGAATGACAATCCCAACTCATTTGGAGGGTACCTATTTACAGAATACTGCTCTGGCAAAATTGAAAGGTTTTAACATATGATGAAAATGAAAACATAGAACTTGCATAGAACAGGGCATCCTTGAAGGAAGAAGATTCTCAAGATAGAATACAACAGTAGAAATGAACTCGTGTTTGGTTCCTACCTTCTTTTACTAGTAAAAAAAGTTAGTTAGTTAGTTCTAGATAAGGCTTCCATGGCAGTCATTCATAGACAAAGTGGGAACAGCAGCCCTTGAATTGTCAAGATCTCAAATCATGTCACATCAGAGGTTTGTGAGTCAAAAAACTGTGCGTCTTGAACTAGACATAGAAATGGCACTGGGTATGTTCTCACTACAGTGTTTCCCATAATTAGCAAGGGTGTATTCAATTAACCCAGTTTTCTGGAGTCACATGACATATTGAGCCAGGCATTGATCACACAACTGAATTCTCCCAACTTGCTGGCTAAGATGTGGTTAGTTAATTTGTGTAATTTTGTTCAGCGTGCATAGAGATCTGCTATAAGATTTCCAGAGGCTAGGTTGAAGGACATCAACCTTCTTTGCCTTTTTCCTTATTTTTAGAATTATTAGAAATAATTGAAGTACCCATCAATTGCTTTTCATGTAATATTTTAACGAGCAAAATATAGTTCACCGGAAATTGATTGATGGAGTTAACTCCTTAGCAGACAACAAGCAGACAACAAGCTGGAAATCTGTTGCTAGCATATTGACTTGGCATTATTGTGTCTCAACAGGGCTAGGGACAACAACCACCATTATGCCAATCACTACATTAGTGGTAGAGGACTATAAAGAATCATTCACCGATACAGCCACAGGTAAGAGGGGCCATGTCTATAATTTCACTCTCCATAAATCGTGTTTCACTCTCCATAAATTGTGATGGGAGGATCCCGATACTCCCATGTTACACCTCTCCTGGGCGACTTGTATTGGTTGCTGGTTGCCCTCCGGGTGAGATTCAAGGTGCTGGTGTTGACCTATAAAGCCCTTCATGGCTTAGGCCCAGGATATCTGTCGGACCACCTGCAACCAGCATCGACTTCCCATCGCCTGGTGCGTTCTCACAGAGAGGGCCTACTCAGGGTGCCATTGGCTAGACAATGTCAGCTGGCGACCCCCAAGGGTAGAGCCTTCTCTGTGGGTGCGCCCACCCTCTGGAATCAACTTCCCTTGGGTCTTCGATTGGCCCCGGACCTTCGTATCTTCCGCCACGAGCTTAAGACATGGCTGTTTAAACGCCCTAGCCTGGACTGATGGGGTCTACTGTTCTAAATTGGTTTTAAATTGGTTTTAGTCTGTTTTAGTCTGTTTTAATGTGTATTTATTGGGATTGTTTCGCTGATGTGAGCCGTCCTGAGTCCTTTGGAGAGAGGGCGGCATATAAGTCCAATAAAAATAATAATAGTAGTAGTAATCATCATCATCATCATCATCATCATCATCATCATCATCATCATCATCATCATCACAAAATTTGAGGGGAGGGAATGTAAGCCAAATCAAACTCTTCTGACGTGGCTCTTGTGTCTTCCCATGCTGGGGGAGGAAGACATTTTAGAGCAATATACCTGGGCACCCTATTGAGGAAGGCTACCAAAACTAGGCCAGATGCTACCAGTGATGTACTGAAAAAGGGAACAAGCTGATTAATGCAGGAAGGCTAACTCTTGGACCCAGCACCACATTTGACCTCTGAGCAAGTAAAGGGAACCAGAGGTTTCTGCAGGGATGGTTTTAAAAAGTTGGTGGCTTGGAAAATGTGATCTTAATTATTTTTTTTTTACCCATCATCTCTCCAACATCTTTACAGATGCCCTGATAGGTAAAGAATTAGGTAGAACTTAGAGCAAATCTAAATGTTATCTTCATTGTTTAAATTAATCTTATTTTTAGCCCTTGGAAGGATTAATAATTACAATTTGGTGGCACTTTGGAAGGAACTGTGGGCCTCCCCCAAGTTCTGGGTGATAGTGTATGAGCTCTCTGGCTTCAGTGTTTGGGGTTAGAGGCAATGGTGGGATTCAGCCAGTTCTCACCTATTCGGGAGAACCGGTTGTTAACTTTCTAAACAGTTCAGAGAACCAGTTGTTGGAAGAAATCTTATTTTGTTTTTTTCCACTTTACAGGGCTAATCCTGTAAGGAAGGCAGGAAGGAAACATTCTGGTGTTGTTTCTAGCCTAATCTTTATCGCCCTGCTTACAGAAACTGCCTCTCTGGTTAACCCTTATTACATTGTAACAGCTAAGGCAAAGTGCCCATCGACGTAAGTGACGTTGAGTTGGCCACGCCCACATGGTCACATGACCACCAAGCCACGCCTACCCAGCTGGTCATTAGGGCAGAGAACCGGTTGTTAAATTATTTGAATCCCACCACTGCTTAGAGGGTCACGGTTTGTTTTCTTTTGTCACTTTTTCATTGGAGATATGTCCACCTCAGAATTATTATTACTATTTCAGGGAGGGCTTTTGAAGAGCTTGATCAAGTAGTGGCAAAACTCAGATGCTCTTCCCTAAAGATTGAGACACATCCCCAGCGGCCTATTCAGAACCTAGTGATTTAATCTTTGCTAAGGTGATACTTTGAAGATCATTATCAGTTCTGGGCATCATAATTTCAGAAGAATATTGAAAAGTGGAAAGGGCTTAGACTGGATGGCTTGAACTGGTCGGAGATTTGAAACTCAAGTTTCAAAGGGGGCAAGATTGAAGGAATTGGGGAATGCTGGGTCTGGAGAAGCAACCATTAAGAGGAGATACATATTTTATTGTATTCATCTGTTTAGGTAATAATCAATGGACTCAATAATCCCCATTGTCAGTAGGTAGGAGCCCAACAATTTAAACTCTGAGAAAGGGATTAAACTCAAGAAAATTGGGATTTTAATAATATTTTTGTATTTGATCATGGATCCAGCTGCTTACTGAACCTCTTCCGTGTAAGTTTTTAAACAGAGGCTAGAAGGCTACTGTAGTTGTGGATTTTCTTCACGAGAGGAGAGGTTAGATCGTCTTTTTCTTTCAATTCTGCGATTCCGTCAAATGGGTTTAAACAACAGAGAATAGTTCACCTTTCTGACATTCATTTTACATAGACATCAGGGTGGGAACGCTCTCACAGTTGCATGTCTTTGCAGTCACCGAGGATAAAATTCAGCCCACCTCTGAAACTGAGATGGCGATGACTTCAGCCCTTCTTCCGTTGGAAAAAAGAAGTAAGTTTTTATATTCTTTGTACCAAGAAACAAGTCCAGGATGCTATGAAAATATTATAGTATTGATCAGACATAAGTGGCCCTTTTAATTTTCACATTTTTGGACAAAAAAGGGGGGGTGATTCATCCAGAGGAGGTATTCAGCAGGTTCTGACCAGTTCTGGAGAAATGGTAGCGGAAATTTTGAATAGTTCGGAGAACCGGTAAATACCACCTCTGACTGGCCCCGCCCCCATTTATTCTCTGCCTCCCGAGTCTCAGCTGATCAGGAGGAAATGGGGATTTTGCAGTAACCTTTCCCTGGAGTGGGGAGGGAATGGAGATTTTACAGTATCCTTCCCCTGCCACGCCCATCAAGCCACGCCCACAGAACCGGTAGTAAAACATTTTGAATCCCACCACTGGATTCATCCTGGAAAAGTAGAAGTTCTCCAATACTTTTTTTTTTCAAGCCAAGGGAAAGAATTCACTCATGATGACTAAATTAAAGCAAGGGAACCTAGCTGGGGTATCTATGGGGAAGGAAAGGTTAACAAAATCAGGACAGGTAGAACAAGAGTAGGAGACAAGATAGGGTAAGACAAGAAGCAATGAGTGGAAGCTTGTCAGAGGGAGATCCAGCTTGGAAATAAGGAGGGAATTCCTGACAATGAGAACTTTTAATCAATGGAGCATCTTGTAGAATTGTGGGTGGTCCATCACTGGAGGTTTTCAAGAAAAGATTAGATAATGATTTGTCTAAGATAGCTGTGGTGGTGCAGTCCTTAGAATGCAGTACTGTAGGCTAATTCTGCTGACTGCCAGCTTGACTGCAGTTTGGCAGTTTGATTCTGATTTGATTTTAATTTGATTTTATTATATTTTTATACTGCCCTTCTCCCGAAGGACTCAGGGGGGTGAACAGCCATAATAAAACAATATATTCTCACCGGCTCAAGGTTGACTCAGCCTTCCATCCCTCTGAGGTTGGTAAAATGAGGACCCAAATTGTTGGGGGCAATATGCTGACTTTGTAAACCGCTTAGAGAGGGCCGTAAAGCACTGTGAAGTGACATACTGTATAAGTCTAAGTGCTATTGCTATAATAGGGGACTCCTCCTTTGGGCAGAGGGTTGGACCTCCAAGGTCCCTTCGAACCCTCTAATTATATGATTCTAAGATGACAAATGAAGCTCTATCCCGTTTTTATGGGCCAAGCAGATGTTTAAAAAGGTGGGGTTTCAATCATGTTGTCACAGCTGTCGTCTTTTTTGTCCCTCCCAGTAGACCTTTATGAGATTGTGATACAGTGAAAATTACGATTCTGCCACCCAATAACTAAATAGATTGAAAGCATGAGTAAAATCCCCTTCTTTGAAAGAAATCTCAAAAGCAGATTCTCTTTCATCAGATGGAATGACAGCTGGTACAAAACCGTGCAGGGAAAGTTCTGGGATTGGCTTTGATAATATGAATAAACCCAGGAAAATGGACGGAGCGGGGCTGCTGAAATTCTTTCCAACCCTTTACTAGCGGTGGTCATCAGAGGCAATCGGCCCCCCTCCCCATCCCTGGTGTAATGATCTGTCAGACTTCGATGCTATCTCAAAATAAATGAATTTCCAAACTACCAATCTTTAAGGAAATCTTTTCTTTAATTGAGCACAGCCACCGGATCATGACTCGAGGCGGACAAGACTGACCTTTTGCCCCCCAATCCCTCCCTTTCCGATCCCCAAATCTCTGCTTCTCATTGGCTATCGTCCAAGTCATTCTTCAGACTTCTTGTCTCGTCATTTCCCAGGAATGTCCCACTCCCTCCTCATTTCCACGACAACCCGATTTAGGGATTTAGCAGGCAAAAGTTCAAAGCTTATCTCTCTCTCTCCTCTGCTCTCTATGCCAGCGTTGAAGCGCTGACACTATCATACTATGACTGTGTGTGCTTCTGCTTTTTTCGTTTGTTGTATCTCTCTGTGTGTTTGGGTGTATGCATGCCTCAGGAAGCACAGGGTGAGCTATATGTGTTTTGCTCTGGATTATGGAACCCGGAGGGAAATGGGAAAGGGTCTTTGGGAAGAACAGGGAGGTGGCTCAGTGGCTAACACACTGAGCTTGTCGATCAGAAAGGTCGGCAGTTCGGCAGTTCGAATCCCTAGTACAGGTCTCCTGCGTGAGCAGGGGTTGGACTAAATGACCTCCAAGGTCCCTTCCAACTCTGTTACTGTTAAAAGACATTCCAAGCTGTTGCCTGGGTGTTTCTCCTGTAGGATCTTAAATTGGATCCATCTCATTTTTTGAACTTGGTTTTGTTGCCAGCTTCTCAACCACACCAAATTTGATCCCATTCCATTCAGTTTTGAGGGGACCTATCCTGTTGACAGACAGATATCCTAACTCCCTTTATATCTCTCCCTCCCCCCCCTCTAATCTTTCTCCCTGGACTCAGAGTTCTTTCATTTTCATGGCCTAGGCCCGGGATATTTGGCGGACCATCTGCAGCCAGCAACAGCTTCCCATCGCCCGGTGCGTTCCCACAGGGAGGGCCTACTCAGGGTGCCGTCGGCCAGACAGTGTCGGCCAGTGACCCCCAGGGAGAGAGCTTTCTCTGTGGGCGCACCTGCCCTTTGGAATCAACTCCCTTTGGAGTGGCCCCCGACCTTTTCTTTTTCCGCCGTGGGCTGAAAACTTGGCTATTTCACCTGGCCGCCTTGGACTGATGGGGGGTTTAATCTGGGTTTATTGAATTTCTTAATTTTAACTTGGACTTCTGTTTTAATGGTCTGTTTGTTCTGTTTTAATCATTGTGAGCCGCCCTGAGTCCTGTGGAGATAGGGCGGCATACAAGTCCCATTAAATAAATAAATAAAATAAATAAATGTTGGCCATTACCTGGATTGCAGCTGTTCTCCTGTTCTGCCCATTACAATCACCTCCATACCCTTGTGGCAATATAACGACAGCACTTAGATTTATATACCACTTCACAGTGCTTTACATCCCTCTCTAAGCAATTTACAGAGTCAGCACATTGCCCCCTAACAATCTGGGTCCTCATTGTACCGACCTCGGAAGGATGGAAGGCTGAGCCAATGGTGAGAATCGAATTGTATAACTACAGGCAGTTGACGGCAGAATTAGCCTGCAGTACTGCATTCGAACCACTGCACCACTGCACCACATCATATGTTGCCATTCTTGCCTTTAGATAATGGGTAGGTATTGTGTAGCCTTCTAGCAATTGTATCACCTTTGATTTGACCATGACAAATGGGTGTTCAAATTCAGATTCATCTGAATGCTGCACAGTGCCAACTTAACTTTAATGTAATTTACAGCTACATGGCCACCAGAAGGCTACTTTGACCATAGCACCTAAGAGATCTTGTCAGAGCCTAATAAAGACAAACAGGATCTTTAATATTTGGATGGAAGCCACTGCGGATGGGAATCTTGAAAGAAGACTGTGGCAAATTATTTACTTATTGTTGCTAATAAATAGCATGAACTTGTCCACGAAACCAAGAAACACATAGAAGCAATATGTCAGTGCTTCCTATATTCTGTTCTATCATTATTAAATCTGTACTCTTTCTATGACAATTACTATTACTACTACTGTACTTTATAGTATTGCAATTGACTTATTATATTGACTTACTATATTATTATTATGTACTACTCTATTACCTATTAGTCTGTTATAATTACCTATATACTAACTATGCTCTATATGACTATTAGTCTGCATCAGCATTTCTTTCTTCAGCCTGTTCTATCTTAAGATCTTTCTCTCTGAAATTTCTTCTTCTTTTTCTGTTAATGGCTTGTGTGTTGAGTTATTGCACCTTTTTTTTCCCTTTGGGCTTTGTCTTGCTGGGTTGATATACCTCTCTTCCTCTCTTTTAGACAATCCATTTCTTCTGAAGGAAAAACTCCTCCTTTCCTTAGCTGCTCTATTCTGTTTTCTGGTGGCTTCAAAACCCCTGTCTCTACTCCCAGGTGTGTCAAAGTTACAGCTTTGTTTATTTAACTCTGCTGATGCTGGGTGAAAGGCTCAAATACAGTAGTGGCCAAAATTGTGGAAACCTTTTGGGAAAAGTGTATTTTCTAAAACTAGCTAATAATACCACTTTTTTGGGGGGGGGAGTAGTACCATAAAATTATAGATCAATGGAAAAATAATTTAATCAAGAATGTAATGCAATAACCTTTATGAAGGATTTGCTATTAGAATAGCAGTTACAGTATAAAGAAGAAAAGTGAAACATGTAGAAAAAAACGAGATATACAAAAATTATCACCATGTCAGTTAATACTTAGTTGGGTAACCTTTAGCATGAATTACGGCCTTACAACATCTTCCCATGGAGTGAACCAAGTCTTTTAGTTCTGCAACTGTTATAATGTGAAACCAAGATTGAATGATTGCTTCTATTAACTGGGTTGTATTGCTGGGTCGCTTCTGACCAACAAGTTTCTTTAGTTGGCTCCATAGATTTTCAATTGGGTTAAAGACTGGGCTATTCCCAGGCCATTCCAGCAGTGGAATATGATTATCTTGAAATTCTCAAAAAAGGTGGTGTTATTAGCTATCAAACCTCAAAAATTCACTTTTCCCAAAAGGTTTCCACAATTTTGGCCACTACTGTAGGAGGGGAGGGGGAAAGAAGGCAGCTCAGGTGCCTGCAATTTTGTCCAAGGGGTCTGCTCTTCCACAAGGAGATCTACACAAAATTAAAATTTGTGTCCACTAAAATATTTCTGCAGCCTCAAGTGAGTGAAACAACTCTCTAAAGATAGCTTCAGCCTGAGTGAATTCAGGATGTTTCCTTCCTTCCTTCCTTCCTTCCTTCCTTCCTTCCTTCCTTCCTTCCAAATTAATTGCAACTCTGAAGATTGTCATTTTGGACATGTCAGTTCACTCTCTTTTTTCTCCCACTCTGACCAGCAGGTGGCGGCATACGCCTGGCGAATGGGAACAACAGCTGCCAAGGTCGGGTGGAAGTCCTTTATGGGGACCTCTGGGGGACGGTTTGTGATGATGACTGGGATTACCCCAACGCGCAGGTAGTATGCCGCCAATTGGGCTGCGGCACAGCCATTGGGGCTACCGTGCTGGGCTACTTCGGCTACGGCAGTGGGCCCATCCTTCTGGACAACGTGGATTGCATTGGCACAGAGACTGAGCTGACCAACTGCTTTAACCTGGGATGGGGACAACATAATTGTGGGCATCATGAAGATGCTGGCGTCCTCTGCAGAGGTGAGAGATGCAAGTGTTAAGTTTCATCATGACTGACCCCTCCGATTCTCTGCTTCAGGAGTGAAATTGCAGAGTGAATACAGGGACACTTTTTAAGGATGCAGGGGCTCAATGGCTAAGACACTGAGCTTGACGATTGAAAGGTCGGCAGTTCAGCGGTTCGAATCCCTAGTGCTGCGTAATGGGGTGAGCTCCCGTTACTTGTCCCACCTTCTGCCAACCTAGCAGTTCAAAAGCACGTAAAAAATGCAAGTAGAAAAAATAGGGACCACCTTTGGTGGGAAGGTAACAGCGTTCCATGCGCCTTTGGCATTGAGTCATGCCAGCCACATGACCACAGAGATGCCTTTGGACAGCGCTGGCTCTTCAGCTTTGAAATGGAGATGAGCACCGCCCCCTAGAGTCGGTTACAACTAGCATATATGTGCAAGGGGAACCTTTACCTTTACCATTACAACTCCCTGCAAAATGGGTGTGTTTGTGAGTGTGTGTGTGTGTGTGTGTACGAAGTGGATCGCAAACCCCATTTCAGCTTTCTCTCAGGAGAAATAAGGCATGTTCTGCCTTTAATCTGCTGTTCAGAAAAATGTAAATGCTCAGGTCACGGGTAGGCAACCTCTTCTAACATATGTGAAATTTTCAGACCATATTATGAGTACTCCGTTTTGCTGATCCCCAAAGCGTTTTCTTGAGTGCTATGGCCAGTTACAAAAACAGTCATTTACCAAAGCAAAACTGCTAAGTTACTCCAAGCAGCTCCTCTATTTGAGAGTATTTCCTGTTGCTTCAGTTTTACCTTTGCTTATTTTTTCTGGGCCGGTGGGCTATAGAAGAAAGCACTCAGCTGCAACTGTTCTCTGTTCCCTGGGGAAAGATTAGGGTGCCTGGGCAGAGACCAGAGGTAAATTTGCAAACCAGAGTGGTGCTGGAGTTTATAGATTTGCTTAGCCTGCTTCCAATATTGTTACTTTTGAATTAAAAAGGTGCTTATTTTTTCTAAAAAAAGAAAACCAGGCAAGGTAGGAGTGTGAGAGGACCCAGAGGAGATATCCACAGATGCATTGGACACCAGTCCTAATCAGCGGTGGGATTCAAATAATTTAATAACCGGTTCTCTGCCCTAATGACCACATGGGTAGACATGGCTCGGTGGTCATGTGACTGTGTGGGCGTGACGAACTCAATGTCACTCACGTTGATGGGCGCTTCGCCTTAACTGTTACAATGTAGTAAGGGTTAACCAGAGAGGCAGTTTCTGTAAACAGGGCAATAAAGATTAGGCTAGAAACGACACCAGAATGTTTCCTTCCTGCCTTCCTTACAGGATTAGCCTTGTAAAGTGGGAAAAAACAAAATAAGATTTCTTCCAGCCTCCGAACTGCTTTGAAAGTTAACAACTGGTTCTACCAAATAGGTGCAAACTGGCTGAATCCTACCACTGGTCCTAATTCAGACTGGGCTTAAAACATGCCCTTAAAAACAAAGACCTATATCTCAAAATTGACTAATTGAATGTGCATTTCTCGTGTTCCTCTTTGCTAGTCTGTGCCTTTTTTTTCTCCTGGATTGCAGGAGCAGAAGAATTAGGGGCTTCCTTGCAAGAAGATACTTTTGCTACCACAACTTCAACCACCACTCGTCCCAAAGACGGTATGTAAACCCACAGCTGCTCTTGGCATTGTGATGCTGTTCTTGCCTTAGAGCAGGGATGTCAAACTCAAGGCCCGCGGGCAGGGGTGAAATTCAGCAGGTTCTGACAGGTTCTGGAGAACCGGTAGCGGAAATTTTTGAGTAGTTCGGAGAATGGGCAAATACCACCTCTGGCTGGCCCCAGAGTGGGGTGGGAATGGAGATTTTGCAATATCCTTCCCCCAGGAATGGGGAGGGAATGGGGATTTTGCAGTATCCTTCCCCCAGGAATGGGGAGGGAATGGGGATTTTGCAGTATCCTTCCCCTGGAGTGGGGTTGGACTCAGTGGTGGGATTCAATTATTTTAACAACCGGTTCTGTGGGCGTGGCTTAGTTGGGGTGTGTGCCTTGGTGGTCATGTGACTGGGTGGGCGTGGCTAGCTGGTCATGTGACCGGGTGAGTGTGGCTATGTGCATAGGGACTACTCAGAGGCTTGAAAAAAGTCATTTCTGACTGGTCCTCGCACTTACGACCATCCTCACATTTATGCCCGTTGCGGCATTCTTAACAACCGTGTCAGTCATTTTACCACTACTTCTCTTCACCACAGTGACAAGATAGGGCGTAAAATGTGAGGACAGTCGTAAGTTCGAGGAGTGGTCAAAAGTGCACAAAATATGCATATGCACAAAAGGATACAGCAATAGAGAGGGATGAAGGAAGGAGAAGAGAGATGGAAGAAAGAAGGAGAGAGAGGGAAGGAAAAGACGGGAGGAAGGAAGGGAAGGGAAATTAGAGTAGGAGTGAGGGTAAGAGAGGGAGGAAGAGAGGAAGAGAAGGAGAAAGGAAGAGGAAGTAGGGAGGAGAAGAAGAGGGGGGGAAGAGAAAGTAAGAAGGAAAGAAAAGAGAGAGGTGGTAGGTTTGAGGAGAAAGATTGCTGTACAGTAAAAAAGATGAAATGGAAGAAAGGCCCCAAACAAATATAAAGATATTAAGATAAAGAATGAATTGTTAAACTTTAAAGAATAAAAGAGAACAAATATGAATAAATAGCAATAATTAGAAACACACATACAAACATACAATTTATTTTCTTTGAACAGAGTATTTGGCCGGTTCACAAATTTAAACAGTGTTTAGTCATTTCAATTAAATTTACATTTTCTATATTTCCTTTTTGCCATATTTATTCCTTATCTATTTTTTAAATAACCAATATTACCCTTCATCCTCATCTCTAATCTTAATCAAATTCAATTTTTCCCTTCTATATTATACCCCTTCCCATTGTCATCTATTTTTATATCCATTTTTATATCTCACATTGGTTAATTATGTAATATTACAGTTGTTTAATATAAATTCAACATTTTAATATAAATCAATTAGTTATATAATTATCTTTTTTGTATATTAATCAATATGAACATGAATATTCCAATTATTTCCATGCAATCCAGTTTCTTACAAATCAATTAATTATATTTACCAATAATAATAAACCAAATAATTTCCCCCATATATTCCTCCAAACCACAACTTAACCATTTCTGCTTTCAACACAATATACACTTAATAGTATCTCAATTATTACAATTCCCTAGTTAAATAGAGCTTTTTTTCTTTTGTGTTTTAAAATCTTGAACTCTCCTCTTTTTCCCTAAATTTCCCATTGTTTGCACCTACCTTTTTTGGTGAGGAAAAAAAAAAGAAATCTGCCTGCCTAATTTTCCAAAGTTGCAGCAAACAGCAAAGCCTGCTTTACTTTCAGTTTCGTTTTTCAGCATAGCTAGAGGGGAAAAAATCTGCTACAGCACTCTTTGCAAGCAAGCAGCAGAGCTCTCTGCAAAACAGCTGAGAGCAAATCAGCTGAGAGTCGGGAGGCAGATCTAATCAACGGGCTAATTAGCCTATGCTGAAGCTCCATGGGCCAATAAAATTACAAAAAAACACCGAACCGTTTGTTAAATTGCTGGCTCGCCCGCCCCTCGCCCACCACTATTTATTGGCAATAAATAGTGGTGCAGAAGGGCAGGGTAAGGGGCTGGGTGAGCCAGCAATTTAATAAATGGTTCGGCCAAACCACCTAGAACCGGCAAAATCCCATCACTGGTCGGAATGGAGATTTTGCAATATCCTTCCCCCAGGAATGGGGAGGGAATGGAGATTTTGCAATATCTTTCCCCCAGGAGTGGGGAGGGAATGGGGATTTTGCAGTATCCTTCCCCTGGAGTGGGGTGGGAATGGAGATTTTGCAGTATCCTTCCCCTGCCATGCCCATCAAGCCACACCCACAGAACTGGTAGTAAAAAAAAATTGAATTTCACCACTGCCCGTGGGCCAGATTCAGCCTGCCTGATGCTTAGATCTGGCCCACGGGGCCACCCTGCAAACAGCAAAGGACCAGCCTCCGGTGCCTCTGCCAGCGAAAAGGTATACCCAACAGATATAATTTGGTTGGTGAATTAAACTATTTGGGGAGTTCTTCCACTATGCTGACCACTATTAGGCACAAGAAACCAGGATTCAGGATAGGGTTTAAAAGTACTATGAGTTTGTTTCATGCTACCTATACACAAGAATCTGAAGTACTAACGGTCAAGGCAAATTGGTCCTAAGTAAGAATCATCAGAGTTCATGGGTGGGTGGGGGGTGGACTTAGGTCTCTTGTGTGAAGTGTAGTGACCCCTCCTTCGGGCTCAGCCTGGTCATCTCCTACAACCACAAACTGATCTTAGGGGTTATGCTTATACAACATGCTAAGCCCATGATGGCATGTGTATGGCTTAGCACAGTGATGGCGAACCTTTTCGGCACGTAGTGCCCAAGCCGGAACGTGCGTGTACCAGAACCCCGGAAACTCGAAGACCATGCAGAGGTGGCACGAAGAGCCCTCTCTGTGGGCATGTGCACCGTCACCAGCTACTCTTCTGGTTTCCAGCACACGCATGCACGCTGGCCACCTGATCTTCGGGTTTCCGGTGCTCCGGCATACCAGCTGGCCGGCAGGTGTGCGTGCACCAGAAACCAGAAGAGTAGCTGGTGACGGTGCACGTGGCCACAGAGAGGGCTTTGCGTGCTACCTCTGCATAGTCTTCGAGTTTCTGGGGTTCCAGCGTGCGCACGTTCCGGCTTGGGCACTCGGTGCTGAAAAGGTTCGCCATCACTGTGCTAAGCCATACACTCACAATAGTTGCAACTTATCCAAACGCGGCATGTGGATATGGGTTGCTAGGTTCTGATGGCCATATGTGGAGTTGCACTTTTTGGCGTGACTTTTTGGCGTGACTTTGAGCACGTGTAGGATTAAGGTACAGATTTGGAAGGAAACTCCCAATTTTGTCCATTGTTAGGAGACTGCATCCCAAAGGTGCTTTTTCCAAAAGGCAGCTGAACTTTCTTGGTTTTTTTTCAGGGGTGAAATGCTCCCGGTTCAGACCGAATCGCCCGATCTGGTAGCGATGGCGGCGGGTGGTTCGAAGAACCAGTAGCAAAAATCCCTGCATCCCCCCCACATGCCCAGCTGAGCCACGCGATCATCGGAGGCTGTTTTTTTTTACTTTTAAAAGCATTTTTTCTACAACCTCTTTGGCCGAAAAAATGCTTTTAAAAGTTAAAAAAAAAAAAGCCTCTGCTGATCGCGCGGCTCAGCTGGGATCGTCAGAGCCTTTTAAAAGCATTTTTTTCTGCAACCTCTTTGGCGGAAGAGGTTGTAGGAAAAATAATGCCTCTAAAAGCCTCTGGCGATCCCATATGAGTGGCCTGATAGTCAGAGGCTTCTAAAAGCATTTTTTTTTCTGCAACCTCTTAAGGTTGTAGAAAAAATGCTTTTAAAAGTAAAAAAAAAAGTTGGCCACGGCCACCCAGTCACATTACACACACACACACACACACACACACACACACACACACACACACACACCAAGCCATGCCCATAGAACTGGTAGTAACAAATTTTAGATTTCACCCCTGGTTTTTTTCCCTTTGAAAATGCTTCGCTTCTCATGAGAAGCGAAATGTTTCCAAAGGGAAACAAACAGTTGTCTTTTGGAAAAAGCACATTTGGGACAACCATGACCTGGATGGTTGAGAATCTCCATAGATGTTACCACACTGTGTTTTTCCTGTATTTCATTCTGTCCTCAATCAGTCAAACTATCACCACTCTATAAAGCCCTAGGAAGACCACACCTAAACTACTGCATCCAGTTTTGGTCACCAGACTATAAAAAAGATGTTGAGACTCTAGAAAAAGTGCAGAGAAGAGCAACCAAGATGATGAGGGGACTGGAGACTAAAACATATGAAGAACAGTTACAGGCACTGGGCATGGCTAGTCTAGTGAAGAGAAGGACCAGGGGGGACATGATAGCAGTCTTCCAATATTTGAGTGGCTGCCACAGAGAGGAGGGGGATCAAGCTATTTTCCAAAGCGCTCGAAAGCCAGATAAGAAATAACGGATGGAAACTGATCAAGGAGAGTTTCAGCCTAGAAATAAGGAGGAATTTTCTGACAGAGAGAACAATCAATCAATGGAACAGTTTGCCTTCAGAAGTTGTGGGTGCTTCATCACAGGAAGCTTTCAAGAAGAGACTGGACTGCCATTTGTCAGAAATAGTATAGAGTCTCTTGCTTGGGCAGGGGGTTGGACTAGATGACCTACAGGGTCCCTTCCAACTTTGTTATTCTATTCTATTCTATTCTATTCTATGCTATGCTATGCTATGCTATGCTATGCTATGCTATGCTATGCTATGCTATGCTATGCTATGCTACGCTACGCTATGCTATGCTACATTACACTACTGTATTCCTATTCCTATTCCAATGTTTAGGTTTTCTGCGACTGGTCAATGGCAGCCATCGCTGTGAAGGCCGGGTGGAGATGTTTTACCTGTCTCAGTGGGGGACGGTGTGTGATGATGCGTGGGATCTCAAGGATGTGAAAGTGGTATGTCGGCAGCTTGGCTGTGGAAGCGCCTTAGCAGCCTTTGGAGAAGCCCAGTATGGCCAGGGCAAAGGATACATTTTCCTGGACAACCTCAAGTGCAAAGGAGGCGAAGCATCTCTCCTGCGTTGCTCTCATATCCGCTGGAATGTGCACAACTGCGATCACTCGGAAGACGCTGGTGCCCTCTGCCATCTGCTGTGATGCTGTGCTGGAGGTAAGGACCAGAGGTGGGTTTCAGCAGGTTCTGACCAGTTCTGGAGAACCGGTAGCGGAAATTTTGAATAGTTCGGAGAACTGGTAGTAAAAATTCTGACTGACCCCCACCCCCATCTATTCTCTGCCTCCCAAGTCCCAGCTAATCAGGAGGAAATGGGGATTTTGCAGTAATCTTCCCCTGGATTGGGGAGGGAATGGAGATTTTACAGTATACTTCCTATGCCACGCCCACCAAGCCATGTCATACCCCAAGCCACACCCACAGAACCGGTAGTAAAAAAATTTTAACCCACCACTGGTAGGGATGGGAAGTCTGTTTATGAACCACACAGAAAGTGGCTGTTTTCCTTTTTAACTATTAAGATTTGTTTCAAGCCATTCCTATCCTGCAGTAAGTAAGTAAGAGAATATAGGTAGTCCTCAAATTATGACCCCCATTGCAGGGGTGGGCTCTACTTACCTTTACTACCAGTTCGCAGAAGCATTCTGATGACGTCGGGGTTGGTGGGCGGAGCCTCCTGCCGGTTTTACTACCGGTTCTATAGAACTAGTCCGAACCGGAGGCAACCCACCACTGCCCCATTGAGCCCAAAATTTCTGTTGCTAAGCAGGACAGTTGTTAAGTGAGTTCTGCCCCATTTTACGACCTTTCTTGCCACATTCGTTAAGTAAACCACTGCAGTTGTCAAGTTAGTAACACGGTTGTTGAGTGAATCTGGCTTCCCCATTGACTTGACTTTTCAGAAGGTCGCAAAAAGGGATCCCAGGATACTGCAACTGTCATAAACACGAGCCAGTTGCTTTGCTTCTGAAATTTGATCCCGTGACCACGGGGATGTTACAAAGGTCATAAGTGTGAAAAACAGTCATACGTCCAGTGGTGTGTTGCAAGTTTAGCCTAACTCGCTTGCACGCAGCGTTCAAAATACAGCAATTTGAAGCTCAGCTGCTTACCTTCTAAGGCAGCCACAGTAAATAGAACAGCAGAGGTGCGGAAATCAGCTGTGCCGCGCGAATCAGCTGAGCCACAAAGAAGGAAATATAGGACAGGATAGGGCAGGGCCAGGTGGGCGGGGCCAGCTAATTGTCGGAACTACCGGTTCGCTAGAACTGGTCCGAACCGGCAGCAGCCCACCCCTGCATAGATCACTTTTTTCAATGCTGTTGTAATTCAAACAGTAATTATATGAACTGTTGTAAATCGAGGACTATTATATATATACAGATGGGAAATTCCTGGTGAAGTGAAAGAACTGGTGAATAAAATATTCTGAAGTTGATTAGAGCCATTCATGGGGGAGATTAATTTAATTGGTTTCTCTTAGTCATGATCTCTAAATGGATTTTTGTTTTATTCAGAAGTGTCTGTCTCCAAGTACCAATTGCTAGGGGCCATTTGGGGCAAAAAATTATTATTTATGTATTTTACATTGGGCTTCCAAAAAGGATACAGCCAATCACTCAATGGATCCTTTGGTTTGACCTGCAAAGCAGCTCTTCTTCATACTAGCTACTTGCGTTTGTGTAGAATAATCTTCCCGAATCTGCAATCCTAAAAATTTGGTGGACTAGCACTTTCATAATCCCAAATAAGTCTTGATGGGGATTCTGGAAGTAATCATCATATATCTTTTATGCCACCCAGAGTCACCTTATAGGGGAGATGGGCAACATAAAAAAAATTAATAAATCAATAAATAATTTTGAAGAGCATCAAATTTAAGAAGTCCAGCATGCCCTGTTCTTGGCATTTGGTAACTGGAACCATGATAATTAGCAATGATATTTCCATGTACAGAGTAAATGATTACAATGCTCAGATGACCCATGACTGAATTACTGCAGATGCAAAAGTAGTATGGAGAATTTCCAATGCTTTCCTTACATTGTTAGCCACCAGAGTCAATGGCTGGGTTCCCATAATAAATTAAGCCATGCTTTGTTCTCTAAGCTTCAACTGATTGGCTTCACATATCATACAAAACCTGAAACGACAGTTTTATTAACCAGGGTGGCTGGATTCAGACAGTATTCCCAAGCCAAAACAAACTTTTGAGTCACAATTTGTTGAATAAACCATTGTGACAGGTGCAGATCTATTGTTGAGCTATAATGAGTAGGTTTAAATTTCACTGGAAGGGTCTACAAGGGGATCAAAATCTGGAGGCTGCTATATGCCCATTTTCCAGATTTTTTACCTCTCCTTCTCCTGTGGAGGCTGGTACATCACATACTGACATAAGCAAAGAACATTATGCCATAGTGTAATATGGGAAGTAAGCCAAAAGCGCTATCGGTCTTCTCCTCCTTTTAAAACTGAAGAGGAGTCAAAACTTCATGGGGTGCTTTGCATGGATGAATCTTAAAGCCCACATCCAGGGGCGGGCTTCAAAATTTTTAGCAAGGGGTTCTCTGCCCAGTTCCTGAGTGGGCGTGGCCATGGTGGGTGTGGCTTAGTCGGCCTTCTGCACCACGGTGGGGGGTTTGTTTTTGCCCTCCCCGGGCTCTGGAGGCTTTCATCGAGCCTCCGGGAAGGTGAAAATGGCCTCCCCGGGCTCCGGAGGCCCTCTGGAGGCTGGAAATGAGTCCATTTCTGGCTTTTCCGAACTTCCGGTAGGCCCATTTTTTGCCCTCCCTGAGCTTCTGTGCACGCCCTGCACTTACCGGCATACAAAACAGGCCACGTGGGGACTCCTGGGAGGGGAGGGGAGGGGAGGGGTGGGCGGGGCCAGCCAGGAATGGGATTTGGGGGTTCTCCGAACTGCACAGAATCTTAGCTAGAGGTTCTCCCGAACCCCTGCGAACTCCCAGCAGCCCACCCCTGCCCACACCCCCATGAAAGCATCTCTGTGCAATGTCGGGGTGCCCTCCTTCCAGCTGAGCTGCTGATGTGACAATAAAGTTCACCCAACAAAGCTTCTGTGCTTCATGACCTCATTTTCTTTAAGGCAGTAAGACCATTGTTGTGGCAATCAAGGGCTTACCTTGACTTTTCCCAGAGTGTGTTATCTTCGTGGTGCAAAACCTAAACATGAGGTGGAGTGCATCCACTTTGCACACTCACAGATTTAACCTCCTAAGTCAGAACTGCTTATGGCTTAATGGGATGAGTAATGCAGCCATATTTTAAAAAAAGTTTCTTAAGTTGTTCTAGTATTAGATATATCACAACCAAAGCTGCTTAGAGCTGTATTTTGTTTTGTTTTCCAGATGAAATTCGTAGACTTCCAAGTCTGCACCAATTGTAAGGAACTGAACTTCCTCGGTGCATGTCCAAAATCTTCCTGCAGAATGTCGTCTTCTCAGTGAATTATGTCCGTGGGATCTCCTGCAAATACGTCTCTCTACCTGGGCTCCGCAGTACTTCAAATTCAATTCCAAAAAGTTGCTTCAAAGGATACAGGAGTACAGATAATAGCATTTGCCTGCTGCAGCACTTTAAAGCACCCATGTCTTTTCCTGGGATCTCTTGTGCTACCCCTTGTGCTTACCATGTGACTTTGGAAAAAGATATTGCTGCTTTAAAAAGGTCACAGACAAGTGCTATGTTCTCATTCCTACAAGCATCATTTTCAAGTTAAATCTGAAGCATGACCATCTCAGTGTATAGTTAGTTTAGGAACCAGAAATGGTGTATTTTTCAGAGCAAGTCCCCACACAAGACACTTTGGACACATCCAGGACAGATCTCCAGAAATCTTTTATCCCAGCATATGATGTATTTTCTAGTCTTGTCATTTTGATATTGGTCCCCCCCCCCCCTCCCGCAATGTAGGGTTTCTTCTTTTGGTGTGTACTGGTTTTTATGGTGGCTCCTCAGGACATATGTGTCTTCTTCATTCTTTTGGACAAAAATAAGTGTCAGGTGTGCAAAGTTTAACTTTTTAGTAAGGATGGTTTGTGCTCCATGAATAGGTGGGAGGGTCAGAGTAAACTGGTAGCTGGAGCTGGGAAAAAAGCATATTCTCAGAATACCTGGAACAGAATACTGGGTGAAGCTGGAAGAGTGAAACCAGACAAGTAGAGCAGCAAAATATTCAACGCCTATTTCCAGGTAAAAGAGGAAAAAGTCGCCATAAGAGGTTGAGGTTTTTTTTAGAAAGACATTTTGGATTTGCAGGAATGAAGGATCAAATGTGTACAAAAATGTTAAACCAGTTTTTTTAACTTGGTGACAGTGCACGGCTGCAGCCCAATATATCCATAAATCAAAATCAGAGTCACAGTGAGTATGTGCATTATACTCACATTTGAAGAGGGCGAAATGTTATAGTTTTAGCCTTTCTTGTGTTGCTCCTGAGCAGCGTTTCAGCTCCAGATAAAAAAATGTGATGCCTTACAAACAAAAGGCTCTCCAGGGCACCTTCCCCTTCACCAGCTGCCTAATGAAATTCGTATGCCATTATGCAAAGACCCAGCTCCCTTGAGAAGGCCATAGTGGTGGGAAAGGTGGGGAGGAAAAAGACTAAGAGGACAACCAGCTATAAGGCGGAGGGACTTGATTACAGCCATGGATGGATGCATCATTGGGAGACCCAAAGCGTTAGGCCAGGGACAGATCATCCTGGTGAAGGCCTGTCTGATGCTGAATAATCAGACAGGCCTTAATGCTGCATAATCCAATCAATCAATCAAAATAGACATTGCTCCAGGATCCAACTCAGATTGCGAGGGAATATTCTAGTGCATAGACTTTTTCGGCTAAACTGTGCAATCAGCAGAAATAAGGCAGGTTAGCTTGATGAGTGAGGTTGCTTTCTTTGTATTATTTTCTTCTTTTTAAAAACAAAAAACAAAAAAACAACCCGACAATATGTATAAAAGGTGGAAAGAATGTAGTTTTGGGGTGAAAGTGGTTATTCATTCCCCTCTGAAATCCTTGCAAGGGTAGGGAATTTCTGACTTACCAAACATTGCTAAGCCAAGGTGAATAGAATTTGCCTTTTAGCATCTTGTATTTTAAGGATAAAAGGGATGCGGTGGCTCAGTGGCTAAGACGCTGAGCTTGTCGATCGAAAGGTCGGCAGTTCAGCGGTTCGAATCCCTAGTGCCGCGTAACGGGGTGAGCTCCCGTTACTTGTCCCACCTTCTGCCAACCTAGCAGTTCGAAAGCATGTAAAAAAATGCAAGTAGAAAAATAGGGACCATCTTTGGTGGGAAGGTAACAACGTTCCGTGCGCCTTTGGCATTTAGTCATGCCAGCCACATGACCACGGAGACGTCTTCGGACAGCGCTGGCTCTTCGGCTTTGAAACGGAGATGAGCACCGCCCCCTAGCGTTGGGAACAACTAGCACATATGTGCGAGGGGAACCTTTACCTTTACCTTATTTTAAGGATTGTCCAGCCTAACTGGGTTTTAGGAGGAGGAAATAAGAAGGGAGGTACCTAAATAGTTCTGAATAAACCACTAAGCTAGCAGAGACAAAGTTGCTTGGCTACTTGTTACTTAGGTATTTTTCTATTTATATTAAAGCAATAATTTAGGCATTTGTACGTGTACTGATAAATAAGTACCTACAGGTTTAATCCCCTGTACCTTTGAATACATGAAATCTTAACACCCCACCCCCCAAAAGGTAAGATTTTATCAAGACTGGAGAACATGTAAACATATGTACAGGTAGTTCTTGACTTGGGACCACAATGGAGCCAAAAATTTCTATTGCTAAGGGAGACATTTGTTAAATGGGCTTTGCCCCATTTTACGACCTTTCTTGCCATTGTTATTAAGTGAATCACTGCCGTTGTTAATAACACGGTTGTTAAGTGGATCCTGGCTTTCCCGTTGACTTTTTGCTTGTCAGAAGGTTGCAAAAGAGGATCATGTGACACCTGGGGATACTGCAACTGTCATAAATACATGCCAGTTGCCGAATGTCCAAATTTTGATCACGTGACCACAGGGAGGCTGTGGCCATGGTTGTAAAGGTGAAAAATGGCCATAAATCACTTTTTTTCCACTGCCATTGTAACTTCAAACGGTCACTAAATGAACTGTTGTAAGTTGAGAACAACCTGTACCTTCATGTTTGTTAAACTACAACTCCCAGCATCCCTCACTCTTAGCCACCCAGGCAGGGCTGATGGTAGCTGGAATTTAGGGAATCTGGAGATTCAGTGCATTTTGTGCTGCATGTAGATTTTTCTCCCCTTTCTAACAGTTGAAACAATGCACTACAACTGTCCCAAAGGAAGATTGCCTTCAAAACAAGAGTTTCTGGGTAGAGTTTTTGTCAGGATGAGGAGGAGTAGCTGAACAAACATATTTTTCATGATAATTATCATCATGACAGCTGGCGACACTGAGTTGCCTTTAAGTAAGCTTGAAAAAGGTAAGGATGGTTAATAGCAGTAGCACTTATATACTGCTTCATAGTGCTTTATAACACTCTTCTAAGTGGTTTACTGAGTCACCATTTCCACCCCCCCCCCCAAACAATCTGGGTCCTCAGTTTACCGACCTCGGAAGGATGGAAGGCTGACAACCTTGAGCCGGTCAGGATCGAACTGCTGGCAATGAGCTGAATTAGCCTGCAATACCGCATTCTAACCACTGCGCCAACATGGCTTGACTTAAACCAAGTTAGTGTTTCCATAGAAAACCATTTGGACATTTCAGAACTGTAAAATAGTCTTTAAGGAAAACAATTCCAGAAGAAAGCAATTGTAAACCACATTAATGTGGTGGTCAAGAAAATGATATGATGTGTTTGGTTAGTAACAGTCCAACTCAACTTGATAGAAATGGTACTTTTTATTTATTACTGACCTATTCGTTTTAGTTAGAAAGAGAGCGGTTGTTTATCTTTATAACAGTAAATACTAAAGCAACTTTCTCCAAATCTGGTATCTTCCACATATACTAAACTTTTTCTCTTCAAATTCCCAACTGGCATGGGCATAGCCAACACAGAGCTTATGGGAAACACGGGAGGAGAAGTGATAACTTCAGATACTCCCTCACTTATATGCCCTAGAGCAGCGGTCCCCAACCTTTTGGGCATCAGTTCCATGGAAATAAGTTTTTCCGTGGACCAGAGGAGGTGTGGTTTCATGTGCTGCCTATATCCCGTGGATGGGGCTTCGCTTATTTGCGTGGCCCGGTTTCTGGCATGCCACAGCCCAGTTTGTTGGTCCAGGGGAGCTATTCAATCTAGGTTGCAAAATGCCAGATGACCACTAGAGGGCCTCAAAGGAATACAGGGAACTCTTATTCTTTTGCTGCTATCTAGTGGTCATCCAAATGTTTGCAAACAAGATTTAGTAGCCCTCAAACCAGTGGTGAGATTCAGCCAGTTCGCACCACTTCGGGAGAACTGGTTGTTAACTTTCTGAGCAGTTTGGTGAACTGGTTGTTGGAAGAAATCATTAGGGCAGAGAACTGGTTGTTAAATTATTTGAATCCTACCACTGCCTCAAACCACTCATTGTGAAGTCCTTGGTGCTCTCTGAGCTTCATAGTTTGCTTGTAGACTTTTCATTACACAATCAGGCAGCAACAACATATCAGAGTATGGGGTTTGCTCCAAACTATCTCATTATTTGAACAACTGTCAGCTACAAAACATGACTTAGATCTGCTGAAAAAAGATTTTGAGCTTTTTTTTGTACGAAAACATGAAGTCAGACCTATCACTCCTATTAAGGCAAACAAACAAGCAGAAAACAATACTTTAATCGAAGGACTACCAAGGAGAAAAAACAACAACACTCCCAGCAAAACAGGCCGGGCAAGTTACAGTTAGTCCTCCACTTAAGACTGGTCACTTAGTGATTGTTCAAAGTTACAATGGATGCAAAAAAAGAGAGATCTCTTTGCGACCCAGATTCAAAAATTCTGTTGCTGGGGGTGGGGGAAAACTGTGATCACATGATTGCATTGTGGGCACTCGGCAACTGGCCCATATTTATGGCTAACTGCAGTGTCCTGTGATCACTTTGACCACAATTTCCTTTTTTTTTTTTTGTCGGAAATGGGTGTTTACTTCCAATCTCCATCCCAAAACACCTATTGCAGACGAGTTTGCTTAACGACGGCAGCATTCACTTTACGATTGCCATGTTTACTTAATTTGGCCCAGTGTTTGATGACCCACTTAATGACAGGCACGAGTTAACAACTGTAAGTTCGACTTCTATTACACTCGTAAGTCAAGGACTACCTGTAAACAGGAAGTTTACAGATAGGCAGTTAAGTAATGAAACGCCTGCAAGCAAACAACTAAATTCAGAAGACTCCAAGGACCCCACGGTTCAGTCCTGAGCTGCACTCTCTTCTCTTGGAACCATTCTCATGGTTTTTTTTTCTTCAAAAGGAACTTCCTTTGGGGTACTGAGGCTTGTTCACAATTAAATGTGGGTAGAGGACTGAGTCATTCAATTCCACCGAGGTGCCAGTTTGCGTATAAACGGTGTTTCCATTGTACATAGGACTTAAATTACTTTTCAATGACCTAAACAAAGTCATTGCTGAATAGAATGTGACTACTTTTAAGGAAGACAGATCTGCAGTCTGAGCTACAAGGTGGGTGGTAGAAATGAGGCAAAGGAGGAAGCAGAATATTATATAGAGTGTTTCAATGCAGGTGTTTAGTGATTTAAAAAAAAAAAAAGTTTCAACATCCAACCATGTAATACTTGTATATGTCATTTCGCAGAAGGGGGATGTTAAAAGGTGCTTTTATATAATACAGTGTTCATATTCCATATTGTCATTTTTTTTTTCTTACCAGTTTTTGTTTTGAATAAATAAAGGCCCTTGAAAAGGTGGTGTGATTCAGCATTATGTATTTGCCGCCACACAGACAGGATTTTAATGATTAGGGCAGCGATGGCTCACCTTTTCCGGACCAAGTGCCCAAAGTGCATGTGTGAATACGTGCACATGCCCAAACCCCCAAAAAGCAATGCACGTGGACTCCCCACAAATTCACCCCACCCCCTGCGCATACGTGCATGGCCCCCCACATGCACCCGCCCCTGTGCATGCATGGACCCCCGCATGCAGGGGTGGTATTCACTTACCTTCGCTACCAGTTCACAAATGTGAACGTGGACACATGCTCTCTTCGCTCACACGCGCCACTGTGCATGTGCAGAGCCTTCAGCGCATGCGCAGAGGGTAAAAAACGGGATGTGATGACATCCAGGTGGGTGGGCGGCGCCTCCCACAGCTGCCGCTACCAGTTCGCACGAACTGGATAGAACCGGCTGAATTCCACCACTGTCCATACGCATCCCTCCCCCTGCACATGCGTGGCAGAGATCCGAAGTCTGCGGCAGAGCTGAACTGGGGCAACGGCAAGTAGATCAATGAGTACCATTTTAGTGGCAACTTCACAGAGACGTGAAAGGAGCCCCCACCTGGGCAACAGTGATGCCACCAGCAAATCCTTTCACCACAGATGCACTCTGATGCTTTCGACACAGAAGTAATAGTATCTTTCTCACTGTCAGGAAATTCCTCCTTATTTCCAGGTAGAATCTCCTTCTGACGTGTTTCCACCCATTGCTTCTTGTCCTGCCCTCAGGTTCTCTGGAAAACAAATCAACCTCCTCTTCCTTGTGGCAGCCCTTTAAGTATTGGAAGATTATCAGGTCTCCCAGAAGTTTTCTCTTTGTTAGGCTAGCATACTATAGTTCCCTTAGCCATTCCTCATTGGACGAATATTAGCTTTGGGCTTGCCTCCTCCAGAATGATGAAAGATGCAAAAAGTCAACAGAGATAATGTAGGAAAAGCAGTCAAAGTACACGTTTATTTAATGCATCTTTATTATTGGCCTTTTATGATGGAGAAGGTGTAGAATATGACACTTTTGGTCCTATCAAAATCCCTTTGTTTTGCATATGATGCACCGTGATATGATTGTGTTTGGATAGCACATGAATATTTATCACTCTCTGTCAGCAAAACTGTTCAGACTGATCATCGGTAGGTAGGAAATATGGCATCAAAAGTCTGTAGAGATTCTCAGTCATCCAGGTCATGGTTGTCCCAAAGGTGCTTTTTCAGGAGTCAACCGGACTTTGTTTTTTTTCTTTTCTTTTGAAGACATTTCGCTTCTCTTTCAATCTTTGGATGAGAAGCGAAACATCTTCAAAAGAAAAAACACCTTTGGAAATATGGCATCCTACCCATGTGTAAAATTGGAAACCTTCCAACTTCTCAAATACGCTTTCACTTATAAGAGTGTTTTTCAAACTGAGCAACTTTAAGATGTGTGGACTTCAGCTCCCAGAATTATGGAATTCCACACTTTACTTAAAAGTTGCTGAGAGTGAAAAAGACAGTCTCTAAGAAAGGTGGAACGGATTCCCTTCTTTTTAGGACATCTTCCTGATGTTCTTTCAACTAATACAATCATGAGTTAAATGCAGCTTGTCCTGGGACAACCAATCCAAGCATGGTTTTCTCCAGATGCATGTGTGTGTGTGTGTGTGAGAGAGAGAGAGAGGGGGGGGGCAGAGGCAGAGAGAGAGGCAGAGACAGAGACAGAGACAGAGAGACAAAGAGAGGGACACAGAGAGAGACAGAGAAAGAGAGACAGAGAGACAGACAGAGAGACAGAGGGACACAGAGAGACAGAGACAGAGACAGAAGGAGACGGAGAAAACTACAGCTCCCATCAGCTCCAATTCCTAACTGAGTGTTCTAGTTGACTGTGGATCACATAGTCCAAGAAGCAGCTTCTAAATTGGAAAAGCTCTGGAAAATCTGCAGATGGTGAAAGCTATTGCAATATACAGGCTTGGCAAGATTCTGTAATTGAAGCTTGATGGAAGAAGAGGGGCTCCATTACCTTGCAATAGAACTCCTGGCTGACTGTAATAGTAGGTTCTCAGACTGACAGATTTTCAGGAGATGGCTGTGTAAAGAGCCAGATGCAGGCATCTCCCTTATTACCAAAATAAAAATAAAAATAAAAATCTGCCTGCTTACTGGACCACTCAAATGCTGTGAGAAGGAAAATCAGAAAGTCTCTGCCCTAAAAAAAAAAAAAAACAGGAATGTACTCGTTCTAAATGGAAGGTAGTTGCTAAGCCCATCCAATCAAAACCTGACTTTGCATATAAAAGGGGGCAGGGTTTGCACAATGTGGCTGATATCTTAACTTTTTTTTTTTGGTCCTCTCCTCCTGTCACCCTTCCCTGATCAGAGCTTTGCCTGATCCAGAAAGCAACTGATCCAGTTAACCAGCTAACAAGCCTGTGGGAGAAGCATCTTCCAGAAATGGGAAAGCGCTGAAGGAGCCAGTGATCTGCTTTTATAATAAAGCCAAAAAGCCCCGGAATTGGGATTTAACACCAGAAAAAAAACAAAAGAGCACAGCAGCCAAACTACAAGACAGCATTGATAGGGTGGGGGGTAGTTGAAGGGGAACAAAGCCCGTTCCTCTAGGGATTCAGCAGATTCCCCCTACATCAGCTTTGATGCCGGCTGCTCGATTTGCCTGGATCAATAGCATCGATTAGTTCCTGCTTCATCATCTCTTAGCAGGAAATGGTGGTTGGGGCAGGCGCAGAGGGAGAGAGGAATAAATATTTCACAAGGTTTGAAGCCGAGCTGGTGGTTATTTTCAGGCTGGATTTACAGCCTGTCCGAAATAGGGACGAGCCGAGCAGGAGGGGGCCCATTAAAAGAGACAAGGGTGATTCATCCCCAGTGAGAACCTCGGAATGTTCCAGATTGTCTCTTGCTATTCTCTTCCCAATTGTTCCAGTTTCCAGGTTCAAAGAAGAACTCTCAAATCCAAACTTTCTCTCCTCGCCAAGTACAAACCCTGGAGAGTTTTAACATAACTTTGGGAAAAAACCGAGGTGCTCTTGTATTTATGGAATGTCTCACCCCCCACCATCCACCCTCACCCCTCTCTCTACTATGGAAGATTCTCCTCTATCTGTCTGTGGAGATTCTCAATCATCCAGGGCATGGTTGTCCCACAGGTGCTTTTTCAAGAGGCTGTTTTTTCTTTGAAGACCTTTCGCTTCTCATCCAAGAAGCTTCTTCCAACTCTGATTGGATGGTGGGGGAATGGAAGGGTGTATATTCCTTGCAAACAGCTGGTCATTTGCATTATTTTAGAGAGTCGTTGAGGCCACCTGGAAGTTTGTCTGTGTCCTCAGAGTCACTGAGTAGCGCAATGGGTGTGGAGCCTTCTTGGAATTGCTGAAAGGACTGTGTTATAGACAGGAGATAGTGGTTCTCAACCTTCCTAATGCTGCGACCCTTTAATACAGTTCCTCATGTTGTGGTGACCCCCAACCAGGGGTGGGTTCTAAATTTTTTTACTACCGGTTCTGTGGGCATGGCTTATTTTGTGGGCATGGCTTGGAGGTCATGTGATTGGGTGGGCATGGCTAGCTGGTCATGTGACCGGGTGGCCATGGCTATGTGTATAGGGACTACTCAGAGGGCTGAAAAAAGTCATTTCTGACAGGTCCTCGCACTTTTGACTGGTCCTCACACTTATGACCATCCTCACATTTATGCCCGTGCAGCATTCTTAACAATCATGTCACTCATTTCACAACTGCTTCTCTTTACCATGGTGACAAGATAGGGAAAAAACGTAAAATGTGAGGACAGTCGTAAGTTCGAGGACTGGTCAAAAGTGCGAGGACCAGTCAGAAATAACTTTTTCAGCCCTCTGAGTAGTCCATATGCACAAAAGGACTACCCAGAGGGCTGAAAAAAGTGATTTCTGACAGGTCCTTGCACTTTTGACTGGTCTTCGCACTTATGACTGGTCATCATTTATGCCCATTGAAGCATTCTTAACAACCATGTCACTCATTTTACAACTGCTTCTCTTCACCATGGTGACAAGAAGTAGTCCATATGCACAAAAGGACTACCCAGAGGGCTGAAAAAAGTGATTTCTGACAGGTCCTCGCACTTTTGACCGGTCTCCGCACTTATGACTGGTCATCATTTATGCCCATTGTAGCCCTCTGAGTAGTCCATATGCATAAAAGGATACAGCAATAGAGAGTGAGGGTGAGTGAAGGCGTGGGAGGGGGGCGAGAGAGGGCTTTGGCGACCCCCAGGTTGAGAACCGCTGAGATAGAGGATGTTGCATCCCTCCCTCTCTGTTGAGAGAAGGCTGTTCAATTTTAACACAGATGGCCTCTTTGACCCTTCTTTCAAACCAGCGGTCCTTTCTGTCCAAAATGTGGACTTTGCTGTCTTCAAAAGTGTGGCTCTATCTCTATCCTCCATCTGCTGGAAATGCATTTGTAAATTTACAAGAGTGTCTACACTGTTTTTGAAACAGTGGCTGTTCATGAACTCGTAAGTGCTTCTTTAATTTTAATAAAGTCCAATGCATTCAATCTTCAGAAGAGTTGATTTTACAGTAGATTTTGTAATTGCTGAAAAAATGGTTACAACACACATACAATAAAAATCTAGATCAGCAGTAGCAAATGCTTGTTGCAACACCCTTTTCTCCCCAACCTCAAATTTGCTGTGCACAGTGCTTGTGCCCTTTTCAAGCATACTCCATTCCAACTCTGTCTTCTTATTTTCTACTTTCACTCAAAAGTGTTCCTAAACAATCCTTGGCCTCTGAGCAGGTTGAATTATCATGTTTTAGAATTTTCAAATTCTCTGTAATTCTCACGTTCCCTAGTTACTCTCAGACAACACATTAATATATAAATGTGAAATTAATCGTTAATAATCCACATCTGAGAAGATTAAAAAGATTAATTCCTAGCATTTAATGAAAATCTCACAAAATGCTGATGGC